CTATGCACAATAGGAAAAACATCGAATTCCATTTAACGTTGTTTTTCCTTCGTGATTCTGCCGGAAAATTCGAATGTCCCAGGCCTGGTAAGACTGGTGGAAATTACCTGTCTGACCAGTTTCTTAAGTCGGGAACTGATAAATTCCATAGCGTAAATACATGGGGAAGCCAAACTCTAAGGAGAGGGAGGGCCTTGAGAGTGTCTTCGGACTTGTGGAGTAATGTGAAAGTCGGATCTACCTGCCTTGCTTATCTGAGAGTATCTACCTAAAGAAGACGACTCAGTCGTATACATGTTTAGTTTCGAAGTTTGGGAAGAAGCGAATGAATGCCAATCTACTTGCTCCGAGTCCGACAGGTAGGTCTGAAGGACGTAAGTAATGTAGCAAGCAGAGTAACCTGATATTGTCATAAGAAGGCGGCGCATGTATTCATTGCATCCTACAAAAGTACAAATTACACGTAGACATTGACTTCGCTAGTATAAAACTTGAGATCGAGAATGAAGACAGTAGCGCCTTCTACGCAGACAGTAAAATAATTGCATATAGATTACAATCAACTCATATTAGAGGAATAGCTAGCAAATGTACAGGTATCATATAGACAGGTATCAATTCATAAAAACTGTTGCTCTCAAAACATTCAATAGATGTAACCTTCGCTTCCAAACACCTAAATCTTTCCCTCCCGAAGATAGCCACCAAATCAACGCCCAAGACAAACATTCTATTCATCACTTTCCTCAACAGGTCCACCCATACTTGCAGGTTTCTCCGTAAGTGCTCTCGTAATTCGTGCGTAAAACCTAGCAGCTTGTGGTCTTGGAAATTCTATCTCATCTACAAGATAGTCTGGTAATAAATCCAATAAGGGTTTATCTCTACTTGGGTCCAAAAGTGGCGTATAACGACAATCTGGATCTCCATCTGCCATTTTCTCACTTTCAACACCTAATTTGAAGTGAAGGGCTAGTATTATAGTCAGTATGCAGTCATCATATTAACAAGACATAGGGCAACTTACTACCATTACGACCTGTCTGAATACAATCAAAGACATCTTCTTCGGTTTCTCGTTTGACACCACGTATAATTAGTCCGGTTAAATCACTGTATAGATCTTCTTTCAATTGAGCGGCTTGTGCGGCTTGAGCTGCTTCTTGACTCCCAATAATACGCATACCACCATTGGCTTTGATAGCACTGCCTGGAACCTTGTTATTTGCGCTTTCGTATGATGCTGTTATTTTACGATTTGCTGCAAGCTTAGTAGATAATGTCTTGTTTTCCACTTGCGCTTCTGATAACGCCAATTCCAATTGATGGATCTGGGCTTGTAAATTCGTAACCAATGCGTCTTGCGATTCAATTGTTTTCTTCAGACTTCGAGTTTCTTTCGCTAAAGACGTTTGAGTTGCTAGATTGGCTTTCAAAGAAGCGATAAGCTCATTTGATACTGCTCAAGGTTAGTGCCTGATCCGATTGCTTAATTTTAGAGTTTCATACCCTTTGTTTTTTCCTCCGCTGCCTTTTTATATCGATCAAAAGTTTTCTCTGCTTCTTTGACCCCGACCTCTCGAAGGTCTTGATATTTTACCTCCACATGCTCAAGTTTCTTTGAAAGCTCGCCAAGCCTGCGTCTGACAGTTGGCTCATTCCTCTCTGTATCCGAAGCACTGCCGGCTCGGTGCCGCGAAACGGACATCTGTCGTCGCCGTGAGTCGTTGTGCGAGCGAGATTCTTTCCTTTTCACCTCAGGTATGCTATCTTCTTGATCCGGCTCTTCGATATTTTCTTCAGTTTCCATTTCCGTTTCTGGTGCTTGAGTTTCTTGAATAACCTTTTCAGTTGACTCTTGTTCTACAACAGGCTCCTCTTGTACCTTTGCTTTGCCTTTTCTTCCAGGCCTACCCTTTTTGCCCACAGGTGCTACGATTTCTTCTGCGATTTCTGGTTCGGGAACCACTGTTTTAGCGGCTCTACCTCGAGTCGCAGTTGGTTTTTTCGTAGCTTTTGCTTCAAATTCCTTTGGCGCAATAATCTCACCATCCAGTTCATCACCCGAAGCTACATCCTCCATGGTAACGTCTTCTGTCTCGTCAATTTGCTCTGCCTCCTTCCCAGTATCCTTCTGTCGATTGATTTTGGCTGCCTGAACATTCTTTCTTCCTCTCTTCGCCTGGGGTGATGATTCTGGTGTTGGCTTCCCATTGATTCTTCCACTTGCGCGACGCGCCGGTGATTTTATTTTTGTAACTTTGGATGGAGCAGTCTTAGGTCTTCCTCGTGCTTTCTTCGCGGCTGTATTATCTTTTGATTGTTGTTTTGACATTGTGCGCTCTACCAAGTGATCATCCTCTGAGTCTGATCCTATCAGTCCCGCAAGTGTTGAGTTCTTGAACTTCGACATTTAATGTAAACAATGCGCTTGGATTGCGACGCGAGATGATTGAATGAGTAACGCGATTTTAGCGGTGAGGTCGTATAATTGTTAATATCGTCTCAAGTTAGCAGAGTTCGATTTACTGGAGTGATCTGATTTGCGACAGTAGAGAACTGAAATTAGTAGATTCAATAAGTGCAATTGCTGATATGGTTCCATCCAAAATCGAGGGGAAACCTCTTGCCAAAGTAAACAAAGTTAGACTAGTGGCTTCTGTGGCTCATCGGAGTCTATCCTTGCAGATCCGTGAGCAGAGCACGTGTCAAAGCCTTCCAAAAAATTTCTAGCCACACTTGACACCGAACAAACGCCACAGCACAAGCAAACCGCCGCGATCTCGAGTCAGCTATCCAGTTCCTCGACGGACGACTATAAAATCGCGTTTGTAATATACTTTATTCTCGAAACTCCCTTTTCGAAGCATCGAAAAGCTGCGATTAGGTGGCCTATACTGTCTCTGAGCTTTGCGCATCATGATGGGGGATGGTAACAGTAGGAAGTATGGACTCTTACAAGATCTATTATTGATCGTTGTTTCTGTGAGTATGCCAGGAAGACCTTCACAATTTGCTCTACAACGACTAATCTGACTGACATTCATAGACTGCCTCTTTTTATTACGTCGCAAAGAGTTTAATACCGGCTCTACCCTTTCAGAACGATGCTGAGAAAGAACAACACGAAGAAGCAAGATTAAAAGCCGCGGCGAATCTGCGAAGATTAAACAGAAGCGGTAGTGATTCAGATTCAGATTCAGAGGAGACAGTCTCAGGGAGAGGAAAGTCTCGCCGTCCTCGCAAGGAGGATTTGATCCTCGATCAATATGAAAATCAGATTGCTATGGAAGTTGTAGCTCCAGAGGACATTCCTGTCGGTTTTGATGGTGAGTACCCTGCACGAAAAAGCAATACTAAGTTGCTAATTTTATACAGACATTGGTGGTCTGGACGATATTATCGAAGAATTGAAAGAATCAGTGATATACCCTCTTACGATGCCTCATTTATACTCGCATTCATCCCCTCTTTTATCTGCACCTTCCGGTGTATTATTGTATGGTCCTCCAGGGTGCGGTAAAACCATGTTGGCAAAGGCTTTGGCGCATGAAAGTGGAGCTTGTTTTATCAATCTACATATCTCGACTCTGACAGAAAAGTGGTATGGTGATTCAAATAAGCTGGTCCGCGCAGTGTTTTCTTTGGCCAGAAAGTTGCAACCCAGTATCGTGTTCATCGATGAGATAGATGCAGTACTGGGACAAAGACGAAGTGGTGAACATGAAGCCAGTGGTATGGTCAAAGCAGAGTGAGTAAAATTATGCCAATCTTTCATAATTTTAGCTAACGATCTTAGGTTTATGACACTCTGGGATGGTCTCACTTCATCGAACAAGAGCGGATTACCAGCTAGAATTATGATTCTTGGTGCTACAAACCGAATTCAAGATATTGACGAGGCAATCTTACGTAGAATGCCCAAGAAATTTCCTGTCTCATTACCCTCGAACTCGCAAAGAAGACGTATCTTGAATTTGATCTTGAAAGATACAAAAACCGATCCAAATAACTTCGATATCGAATATCTTACAAGAGTTATGGCTGGTATGTCAGGAAGTGATATCAAGGAGGCATGTCGAGATGCAGCTATGGTTCCAGTTCGAGAGTTCATCAGAGAACAGAGGGAAAGAGGTATGTCTATGAGTGGGGTTGACCATTCGAATGTTCGAGGTGTACGAACCGAGGATTTTTTCGGTAGAAAAGGAGGCGGCCAAATTATCAAGGACAATCATGCACGACACATAGCTGCGGAAACTACATCAACAACAAGAGGCACGACTTCTAGTGATGGTTATGAAGATGTTGAAGAGAGCGTTGCTGAATCAATGGATTAACGAATTTATCACGTATATCTGGTCATCTGAGTACAATCGCGTTGTATTATACTAGGTAGCTATGCACGGCGTTTGGGGGTTTGTAATGATATAGAAACAAAGAAAGGAAAACTCTTTTCTTTCCATGATTCAATGAAAATATATTTCATGATGATCTAACTTACCAAGCTTCACCAATTCTTACCTTGACGGATTAACATCATCTGCCCTTTGAGCCGCATCGAAATGATACTAATTCTTCACCTCTCTCGTTCACCTCCTATTCATCATTATTATTGTTATACCCCTCTCTATGTGAATGCTTACAATCATCCCTATCTTGAGGCGAATCGTGATAAGTGAGCACGTCATTTTTAGCGTCAAACATCCCCACATCTTCAGAGTCAGAGTCCGATTTGCGGCGCTACGGAATCTTCCCTACAAAGTTATATCTGGGGAACCAAATTTCTGAGTCTTACAAACAAAATCAATACTTTCTCACATACTCTCATCGACCATAACCATTTGTTCAACTTATAAGAGCTTGATATATTATACCAGACTTCAATCTCAAGTCCAAGTTTGTTTCATCATCTTTCATCCTCTTGAGTCATTACTGCTTCAATTGGAATTTCCCCGCTTCTGCAATTGCACACGACCTTAAAACACAATATCAATATCAGTATGTCTTCACCATCAGGCTCCTCACAAGAACCTGGAGCTGGCAAAGCCAATGGTGCTCTCAACAAAGCATTCCCGCACATTGACCTTGATGGTCACAACCTTCCTCCCTCGCCTGCACCATCTAGTCCTCACAATGGCAGAAGATATGCCTTGGCCACCGAATTAGTCTACACCGAGACTAAGGATCAATATGGAGCTTCAAGCATGCCAATATATCAATCTGCCACATTCAAACAGAACTTGGCAGGTGGTGGATCAGAATACGATTATACACGTTCCGGAAATCCTACAAGAACACATCTGGAACGACATCTCGCGAAGATTATGAACGCTAACCGTGCCCTCGTCGTTGGTTCTGGCATGGGAGCATTAGATGTTATTACACGAGTTTTACGACCTGGAGACGAAGTTATTACAGGAGACGATTTATACGGAGGTACCAATCGATTGTTGACATACTTGGCTGCGAATACTGGCATAATCGTACACCACGTCGATACGACTACTCCCGATAAAGTCAAAGCAGTTCTGGGTCCCAAAACAGCTATGGTTTTGCTCGAGACACCAACCAATCCTTTGATAAAGATTGTCGATATTGCGACAATTGCAAGGACAGCACACGAGTTGAATGAGAAAGCTCTAGTTGTCGTTGACAATACTATGCTTTCTCCTATGCTATGCAATCCCTTGGATCTCGGCGCAGATATAGTCTATGAGTCAGGCACAAAATATCTCTCTGGGCATCACGATATCATGGCTGGTGTTCTGGCTTTCAATGACCCCACTATTGGAGATAAGATGTACTTCACAATTAATTCTACTGGTTGCGGGCTCTCACCAAACGATTCATTCTTACTTATGAGGGGAATAAAGACTTTGGCAATCCGTATGGAACGACAACAGACAAACGCCCAAGCAATTGCTGAATTCCTTGAAACGCATGGTTTCCGTGTGAGGTACCCTGGTTTGAAATCCCATCCTCAATATGATCTTCACTGGTCCATGGCTCGTGGAGCTGGAGCTGTGTTATCTTTTGAAACAGGCGATGTTGCTCTCTCTGAGAGAATTGTTGAGGCAGCAAAGTTATGGGGCATTAGTGTCAGTTTTGGTTGTGTCAACAGTCTGATCAGTATGCCATGCCAAATGAGCCATGCCAGTATTGACGCAAAGACCAGAAAGGAAAGACAGATGCCAGAAGATATCATCAGATTGTGTGTTGGAATTGAGGACGTGAATGATTTAATTGATGATTTGAGCCGTGCTGTAAGTACACATCGAAAAAGGTCCACGTAATAATGCTAACTCTATCTAGCTCGTTCAGGCAGGTGCTGTGAAGGTAACTCTCGATGGATTCCATGCTGTAGATACAGCTCAAGCTATTGCTGAGGTACCAATAGCTGAATCGGATGCTGCAGCAGCTCCATTGTAATGAATGATTTAATGTACATTGCCAAGGCGTTCACGGAGTTGTGGGATGATTTTGATACTCAACTAGCAAATGTTTCGAGGTTACCAAAATGAAAAGGAGCTAGATATTTAGATACACCGCCATAAATGAGGAATAATTGATCAATCAGATCAGTGTCTCGTGTAACTTTGAGACAAGCGCCTCAAGCTTCAAAAAAAAAGCAATTAGTGATTCACAAAGCATTATACATGGTCCTGATATCGGAACTTTACTGTGATGCAAGGCGGAGGTGGCTCGTTGTGTATCAATACGCCACAAATAGTAATTTCCCAGCTGGAATGTTTCCGACCCTTCAACAATTAATTTCTATTTAACATCTCACATCCACATGCTTTCTTACCGAGTTTGGCTTTGTCTATGAAGGAGGGTCTCGTGTCAGATTCGAGGACTCAATGTTGTTCGTATCCGGCTACGAAGAGCATCCTCTTCAACGTCATATTGCTTTTATGTACGACTACCATGGCCAAATTAGGCTTTTTGGCTGTGCTTCTACATATCACCCAAGTTGATGCAATTCCTTGGGAAGCAGCTCCTTCAACATCGATCGCAAATCAGACTACGTCTTGGCTACAGATCCAAACACCAAAGCCTTCTTTGATCACAGCGTCGTTTCCTAACGCCAATCATACCTACGAGTCACCAAATATCTGTGGATGGGTAGATCACAACCCTGGTTCGTATTGAATATTCATCAATCGTGTACAACGATGTTGATCGAAATTAGATAATTCATATACATGTGGGGGTTCCGCAACCTGCTTTTGGGATTCTTCTCTTAAATTAGTGGGATGTGGACATGCGACCTCGATGGATTATTTCACCTCTTGCATTCCCTACAAGGCACTTAGTTATTGTGATAGCTCTTGCTTTGCGAATCCGAGTATTGTTCGTTGGTATGTTTTGCTACAATTATTTTTGGACCTATTCTGATACTTTGTAAAGTGGCTCCGATATTCCCTATTGCGCAACTCCTCGTGTCGGGCCCGAAGGAAATTATTCAATCCTTGCATGTCAAGGACATAAACCATATGGAAGATCCGATATAAATTTGGTGTATAAAGGACAAACGACAGTCGGTCATCTTCCCAGATACCTTGGTGCAGACGGTATCGTTACATATGCTACGCATACACCCACAATGCCATCATTAACCGCACCAAGCACCGGAAATCGTTCATCCTTTGGGCTCGATGGTGCACCAGTACAAGTCTCAAGCACATTTTTCCAAAAGCCATCATCCAATTGTCATTCCGGACCCTATCATGATAGAATCAGTGATATGAGTGTTGTACCTGAAGCAGCTATCGTGGCAGGAACTATTGTAGGGAGTCTGGTGGTTATATGTGCAGTAGTTGGCTTCATTTTGTTTCTTGTTTATAGATATAGGAGACGGATGCCTACTGCTAATATGCAGGCAGATCTTGATATGATGCCGCTGGAAGAGTTGGTGGGGAGGAAAACTAGCAATGGTCGGCTGTGTGGGCCGGCGCCTCGTGGACCGATACCACCGCGAAGGTTCTAGCTGGTGGAATGATCTATCGGTTGATATATGAGATCTTACAGTGCTTTTAGGCAATCATAACTCTACATAGATTTGAAGTCGTGCTACTCAAAAAAATTATTGGCCTACATATCGTTTAATGGACTTTTGAAGGCTACTGAAATTACTGAGTCATTGATACAAAGGGGCTAGCCGACCGAGTGGATACTTTATTGAGCAAGGTCTCCTTTCTTATATATACCACCAGATATGAGCGAATATGATTTCCTGTTCCCTCGTAACCAACAAGAATCCAAGGGAATGTTCAGATAACGATTCGAAGCCATGTTTCTGAAGAAATATAACCTCGCAGTAGAAAACCCCAAAATCCCAAAACTATTGACTAAACACACTCTTTTACATCTGAGTTTCTTGACAGGATTCTATTCAACCATGATTCTTGATCAGATCAGCACACTTTTCTGCCACCATTACAGCTGGTGCTTGCAAGTGATGTGAAATAATCTGTGGGAATATGCTGGTATCACACACTCTCAAACCTTTCACACCATGGACCTTCAACTGATCGTCTACTACTCCGGAAGATTCGTCATCATCTACAGGAGCCATTCTGCAGCTAGATGAATAATGATATATCGTCCTAATCCTACGCCTTATAAATTTATCGATTTCTTCATCGTTGTTATTTTTCGCGTCTTTGTCCTGTTTGTCTTCCGGAAAAGTAATGTTTTCTTGTAGCGGGAAACCAGAAGCTCTCATATTTTCTGCAAGTTTCAAGGAAAGTCTTACAGAGGCTCTGGCAACGATATAGTCTTCAGGATTTGATAGGATACCAAAATCGACTTTGGGTCTCTGGTGTGGGTCTGAAGACGCAAGACGAACGGTGCCGCGTGATTTTGGTTTCGCGAGAGTGGCTAAAATTGAGAACATACCCATTTTGGAAAACAAACGTTGGTGCTCCTCTAAATCATCCATAGCAGTGACGGCGAGAGGCATGAGCTCAATATCTGGAATCAAATCCTGAATCTGACTGCTTGCTGTGGCAAGCTTTTCATTGTCGATTCCAGTATAGTCTTGGTTGAGTATCATAGATCGAACGAACAGGGTTATGTTGTTTATGGGCATGCTGAGAATGCCGGAACGGAAAAATATGTATTTGAAGAATTCCAGTATGCCTAGCATCGGGTGGATAACCAGTCTAGTGATTGATTCCTTGACTGGAACTTTCCATGCAATTGGAATCCCGTGATGATCACTCTATTGAGAGGTTAGAATAATTGGTCCTCTTGTTGTGTACAACATTGGGGGTTCTGTTCCGTACCAGTCCAGATCCAACACCTGGCAGATCTTGCACAACACTGATTCCATGCTCTTCCAGATGTTTCCGGGGTCCAATTCCACTGTTAAATTTCATTTTTAGCATATCTAACAGTTTGATGACGGTTTTAAACCCGAGAAATGGTGGCTTACCTCAGCATTAAAACTTGGGGTGAGCCCAAAGCTCCCGAGCAAACAATGACTTCTCTTTTGACTTTAGCCGAGAAGATTTTGTCAGAATTTTGATCAGCGAGTTTGAAGAAGACCCTATCAGGACGCGGAACTCCGTCATCTTTTGAGAATGAAATTCGTGATAGAATCGTGTTAGTGCAGATTGTCAAATGTTTCTCTCGTTGCAAGGCTGTTTCTCGAGGGAGAAAGGCGTCAAAGGTAGATACTCTCTGTCTCTGCTCATTCACTGTAGCAAATACAGTTGCAAGTCCGTCGACCATGGCGTCAGATGTGTTTGGATCGTCAATCTGAATGAACCCTAGAGCTTTAGCCGCATTCGAAAAGCTAGCAAAAGTAAGCCTTGACGATCCACGAAACCGCAACTTAGGCTTTCTGAGTATCAAAGTATACTCACAATCTATACGCTGTGAACCCCCAAGTATGAAAAGGGAATGTTTGGGTGATCCATGGGCCTACAACGCGATCAGTGCCTAAAACTATTCGAGGATTGATGGCTTAGAACTACGCACCAGAAGTCCCACGATACTCTGACTTTCGCGCGCCCATCACAGTTTCGCTTTTCATGAAATAAGGCAAGAGCTTGTCATAAGCCCAATCCGGATGACCAAGCTGTGCCCAGGAATCATAGTCTGCAGCAGTGCCACGTGTGTACACCATACTGTTGATTCTAGAGCCTCCACCCATAACTTCTCCGCAGAATGCTAAGCTTCGGCGATTGTCACAATACTTCATAGGTTCGCATTCCCAGCTCGACGCACCACCATCAGAGCGTAAGATGTTCGACGAAACAATGGGTATGCGAGACATGAAGTTGTCGTTGGCAGGCCCGCGCTCAAGAAGCAGGACAGACACATTTGGATCTTCACTTAATCGTGAAGTCAAGACACAACCAGCTGTACCACCTTTCGGTTTGGGGATGTTTGTCAGCTAAGAGTCAGGAAAGCATGATACGAAATGATGGATTGCAAGTGAACAAGTAGAAATACCTCCAATCACAATATAGTCGTAGGCTCGACCATTGGCATATTCCGGGTGACGCTCAGGGTACTTTTTACCAAATGGCCACCACATGTTGAATTGTTTCGAGGACTCAGAAAGGAAGATCTTAAAAACAGTCTCAGGTCATAGGTACAGCTCTGTTCAGGTGATTGATATTTCTCGCGTCTGGAAGTTTGAGTCAACAAGAAACTAAGCAAATAGTCTAAAGAATATAGAGCGTGGATCTTATCATGGTAGTTATATTGGTAGAAAGTAGGGAGGATCAAATACAAATATGATGTTGTAACAGTTTTTGTTACTGTGCCGCATTTTCCTTACCCTAGTTCCTAACAACGCAGCAACATGTTACCAACAAACGCCGCTCTCTTACATTAGCGTATACGTTACACACAGGGTTTAGAGATTACCTTGAAATTTGAATTAATTTTCATCGTTTTCATCTACCGAGGAAGTAAGAGCACGTGCTTCGTCTGTCCCTTCATCTACCCTAGCAAAAACTCCAAATCATGCATTTCAGAATATATCTTGTCACCACATCCTACTACCTAGCAAGCCCATCAATTCTTTAGTAGTGGGGGGCCGCATTATTCGCGTGTGGCATACAGAGGAATACCTAAAAACCTCGATACCATGATTTCAGATGAGGCAGATATACAACCCTATTCGACAAAGTTTCGAGGGGACAAGGGCATTTTCAGTAGCTGTTCACACGAATGTCACCTCGGAGAGAGAAGCGACTAGTTTGAGAGAGAGACCCGGAGCGAGTGTATGATTAGAGTTTCTTTCACCAAGACGTTACGCCAGTCATCGAATCACCAGTTGTGCAGATGAACACCTGGAGTCTGTTGGAGTTGACTTTGAGAAATTGTTCAGAAAAATTATGTATGAATTTACTACCCAGGATTGTCGCGAACGGCGTTAAGTAGAAAATTTGATCGCAAAGTCTTGATCTTGATATATGGCACATAGCAAGTTGAAATATCAGGGAATTGTCCATCTGTTGTTGGTAATACACTTTCTTCTGTTTATTATCACTGTCACCAATTCTTTTTGTTGTGAATACCAGTTTTAGTATTGTTTTGAAGATAGCGGGTAAGATATTTGGGCACTCAATTACTTGGAAGACCATGGATCTTCGAGGGAAAAAATTGTGGCATACGACTACTTCGGCGCAATCTGATATTCAACTACACTTATTTTAAATTCTAAGGATTATTTGCATGGCTTTATGGAAGTAGAAGTCACCTGAGTCCCCTTGATAGTGAGATCCACTTCAAGGTTTCTCAATTAATTTTCTAGATTCACCACATTTTGGGTGTAAAGTGCTTCCGTGATATAAAAGACACGACCAAGGAAGTCCGTATCATGCCAAAGATTTTCAACAGAGAACTTGCTGTCCAAAATCTTAAGCTAGCCAGAAGTTCTTCACGTGAGCAATAAGAATCTTTGGTAATATGGATGTAGATCAGGCGTCCACGCAGCATGATGCTGCCAGATATCCATCTTTGATCTAATGGTGGATTTGAACACCTATATCCTCGTTGCTGTCATTTTTCTAGTAATACACGACTGACAGAAGGGTAAGTAACACTCTGGGCGTAACTCTACAGGGTAAATTCCGACCAAACCTTCCTTGTCAGTCCCGAAACGACTTTTCGACCTAGGTTCTCAGAGAACCTAGGTCGAAAAGTCGTTCTCTCTGACAAATGCCCAGATCTCCGTGGGTTGAGAATAAGTGCGCTTTATAGGTATATAAAGTGCTATCAATCGAATTTGATCGTGGAATCACATGCGAGCCTGTCCTTAGAGTGGGGACTTGACATAATGATCTGTATTTACTCAAGCTACTAGCGGCCCGGAATTTCTGTATAAATTGGTCATGTCTGCGAGCGTGAAGCAGTAAATGAGGAGTCCAATACGAAAAGATTGATTTGGATAACCCTTACACAGTATTATCTTTCAGAATTGCGATCATTGAGTGATTTTACGGCTTCAGGGACCGTAAATTTGTTTCCGTACCTTGATCGCCATTGCTACACAACAAACATTCTATTTTAATTTTTTGTAGTGGCAGTAAAGATATCAAGCTTAACAGTAATGGTGATGGTTGTCATAATGGTAGGATTCATTGCTTAAACGTCTCAGAACTCCCTTAACAGTAATACTGGTCGTGCTAAAACTTTTTTGCCTGAACTAAATGCAGACTTCAGAAGTGATTGTGTGAGTGTTCTAGTATGTTTCAGCATGTATAATGTCCGTTTATGGTGTATGTAATTTTGAACCGATGTAGACATAGTATGAATAGTGTCCAAGGTATAACGCTCGGAGTGAAGGCGAGTTGATGTGGAACACGACTGCCCATCGGTATCATATCACTTTGAGAAGAGTAACCGAGAAATTAAAAACATGAGGCACACAGAAAGATGTCGATATCAGATCAAGTAATGATTGCTATTTCCACGTCTCTTTCAAGCATTTCCGGTTTTGCACAAATCGATTGAATCTAATTTCAACACTCAAGTTATTTTTGACAACAAATCAATACCTCTTTTTAAATCAACAATTACAGCTTTTGTATATTGGCTTCACATAATTCATTTGACATAAATATTCTGAAATTCATGGAGACTATGTAAGCCAGAATCGCGTAATTCAGGAGACACATAGTGCATCGATCTCTTTGTTTGTATTATTTCAGAAAGCACGAGTCAATCAAAGTGGGTAAGTTCTGTAGATAGAATGCTATGGCCGTCAGTGCTTTCATAGAGAGAAACCAAGACGATGCATTGAGAGGTGTTCGCGAGCTATGAAATGTTTGAGATGTTCACACAAATATTTGGCATAAGGAGGACGTAATGTGATTCTGTGACGGCGTGAAGTGTGAAACTTACCCCCAACCCCTTCTCTACCGCTAAGTCTTATTGAAAACATTGCCATTTTCCATTTGGTACTTACACGACAAGGAGTATTCCGAAGTTAATAAATCTCTTGATATCGATGCAATGTTTTTCGAGATACATCAGGAGTCAGGAATATATTGAACATTGCCACGTAATACTCAATTCATGTCTGAAGGTTTCCCGTGGATTTGCACGTTCTATCTTCGTGACAGTGATACGCGCAGCTATAGTACCTCCTTGGCGTGGAAATAGCCATCGGATGGCACATATGACTTCGGATGTTGCTCAGAAAATCTGTTGCAAACTCCTCGTTCTTTGCGTTCACATTCACAAGACTAGGTAAATCGGATTGTCTGGAATGAAAAAGTCGAAAGTTATTAGATCGAGCGCGAATACACGAAGCTTGGAACCCTTCGGCAGTCTGTTGTAAACATTTAAAGCATCAGGTGGTCCAAGCGGATAATCAAATTGTATTCTATCCATCACTTCATTCATGATTTCAGTAAGACAGATCCTGTCAGCGAGAGTATAAACCTCGACCGGATCCCAGAAGCTACCAAATGGTGGTAGTCTATTCGTGTAGACCTAACTGACCAACACGTCGAAAGCTTCTGTGTTATCTTCTCGAAGTACTGCACTATTTGTTGTGCTTTCTGAAAATCCACCATTGAACATCTTATCGAAGTAGGCTACGCGTGTACATAGAAGTGATTTGTGAACCCGAAACAACGTCGATTCTTCCCCGATACTGATATCTACCATCTGGGTTCCCGCTTTCCTAGTAAAATTATATCAGCAAGATATTCTTGCGCTACCAAGCGTATATACGTCTATAGAATGTAGGGACACAGTACTCACTTCAAGAACGTCATTCTGGTCACCAATTTTTTTTTCTTCGAGGAATTCAACTTGTATTTGTCCACACTTGTTCAGTCTTTCTACAATTAGCACACTTCGAGTTGAGTTCAAGACCGGGTAATTATTGATTAAAAAAGATGAAGACCATAGCAACTTACCGAGACACCATAAGAAGATATTTGTCTGTCTCAACGTTCTTTGTCAAGTTTTAGAACAATGGTCTAGAGAATATTCGAAATATTTAGCAAGTTGAACATTCGAGAATATCCGACTATGAAACATGATCCTACAACAGGGTGCATGATGATACCTGAAGACAATGGAAGTCCGAAGATTGATGAATACTATGCCAGGAACTTGGTGTTTACATCTTAGATGGCATCATCATTCCACGCGGTAATTCAGAAGAAGCAAAATTAGATGAATATGGCATTCTTATATTCTTCTATCTATGATGGAGAGTTATGTCCTTTAAACTCAAGAAACAAGTATTTCCACTAGTCTCCAGTCATTCACTGGGTGTGTATTGGAAAAAATATTGTAAACGGCCTATTAATTAGACTGTGGTCGGCGTGGAATCGGGCTTTTCGCTTGTGAACATTTCTTCATCTCCTTATGACAATGGTAGATACAGTCACCACCAATTGTTGAATCTGGCATTTCCTTACCGTAACTAGTTCTTGAAGTCTCTAGATAGTCAATAGCCAAATTGTCTTATGCCTCGAAAACTACATCTTGCCCAGAGTTGATATTTTCAGAAGAGATGAGAATGGTTACAGCTTAGAAGATAATAGTAGACGAAAAGTCGTTCAAGACAAGTTCAAAACAAAGATAAATGGTTTGCTCAATGTTTGAGAGACACATGCAAGTGTTTTGGAAGGTACAAGTTGCGCTAAAGTTCAACGTGACGTTGAAGTGAATCGCTTTTGTAATTTTGATCACAGCATTTTCGTGTAAATAGTCACGCAGCAATACTTGAATTTTACAACCTATACAACCTGCAACAGAGTGATGTTCACTGAAAGCTCGAGTAACAGATTCTGAAGTAATTTCTTTCTTCTACAATTCACAAGAGTTTGGATTTACGAGTTATGATACTGTGAAAGATTAGATTCCTATTGCTATAGTAATGCTAAGATCACCATTCCTCGAGCATCAATGCATTCACTGCATCTGCTCATCTTATGAAACTTAATATAAGAACGCCTGAAAAATTGACTTTGCAAGGCGTTCTCCCCAATGTTGACGTTCCGCTCAATTTTCAACGTCACTCTGAGCATCAAGGAGATCCCACGAAGATCCAATTGGGAAACATTCTAGAAAACATGCAGGTACATGAGAGCCAATTAGAAGCTAAAGAAAAAGACAAGAATGTGATCAAATTATACCAGAAGCATACATTAAGAAAATCATTCATTTTGGTAACTAAAACTATCTTGAAATACAAGAAGGGTTTCCAAACCGCCGCAACTCCATATGCTTGTAGAAGCATAAATGAAATATTGTTGTGGAACATGTAACTATCTTCCCGATCAAAAGTATCACGAACCCACTTCATACTAAGCTTAAGATGCCCAAGCCATGGTAAGTAATCTCAGATTACTCCAAACCATCAAATTCTCTCAAAATTTCTGCAACCTGTAAAATTTACCCAGAACTATCTCATCAGGAAACATTCAATACCACAACCTCAATTGTCCTCTAAAGTCGCGTCACGATGCTTGATCCAAATGGGACAATCCTGATAAGAAAAATGCTGATGCAATTCGCATAGGTTCCATTTTCGTGGATCGAGAGGATGCTCATAAGTTCCACGATCTGTGATTTGGTTTCTGCAGTAGTCGATATAGTCGATACCAGCATTTCCGGAGCGGGAAAGGAGATTCCAAAGCTCGGCGCTGGAAATATTGGGTCGGCCAGTGTCTCTGTTTCATTCATCGGAGGTCAGGAGCCAGCTAAATCTTGTATCAGTTTGTGTTCAAGGAGAGAGGGAAGGGGGAGAGTGTGTGGGAAACGTACTCAAAAATAGCAATGTAGAGCTTTCTCAAAGGATTACCCTGATCGGTTTGCGAATAAACGGTATACAAGTCCCGAATATCTGGTAAGATGACTGCTTCTTCATCACTACCCCAAAACTCTTTCATAGCCAAATCCATAAGTTCGTCGCACAATCGAGGGATATGGAAATCAGTTACCATGATGTACGTGTCGACAAAACGGTAATTAGAAAGACCTTCGGCTCGTCCTGGCTTATGCAACTCAAGTGGCATAATTGTACCCTTAATAAGCCACTGAATGATGACTCTGGAAGATGAGGCCATGTATCCGCGGATATAGATGGAGTTGGAGTAAGGCTTGCGAAACTTTTTAAAGTGGGGTACGATCTCGAGTATGGCTTCGAAAACGGTTCCTGTGAAGTAAAATGTTGCATAGTCGTCTAGTTGACCGCCGAGACCACAACTAATCATGCAATTCTTTCTGTGAAATTGTTAGGTATGATGGAAAAAGCTGCTGAAAAAAGCTACTCACTCCTCAGACTCCTCGAACTTCTCGCGACTGCGCTTGTTGCTGTTCTGGGATGGATCCTGGGATGAGCCTGTGGATTGCTTCGGTGCCATTGTTGATTTTTTAGCTGGCTTTTTATTCTCGTTATCAGAGTTGAAATTGTGACTTGCGTTGCGAGTAAGAGGAAGAGGGATGGATGGTGTGGCTGAAGTAGTAGCTGACTTCTTATCGTGTGCCTTTACGGACTTTTTTGTAGAATTTTCAATAGAAGAAGATGATCTAGAGAGCCCCTGTCTTTCTAATACTGAAGGTGGGAGCTGTTTGGAAAGTCGTGGGGCCTTTTTGCAACGTCTTGTCTTCTTTTTAAGTATGAAAGAAGAAAAGGAACCGGCTGGAGGTATAGCTATGCGTTTCAATGATTCACTTGAGATCGTTTCGGGATTGAGCTTTGGATAAATCGACCGATACGTCCCAGCCGTATCAGCAGTTGTTGATTCTGCGGCCGTGGTATTTATCGAAGACGGGGCAACTGTTCCGGTGACAGTCTTCGGTTGCTTAAGAAGCGATCTAAGGGATCCTTGAGCCAAATTTGGTGGTTCTTTAACTTCGTGTGGTTTTGGAACTCGAATTCTTAAGGAAGATCTGTGATCCACGTTAGGAGAAGCAGTATTCTGGGAAGAAGACATGTCTAGTGGTAATCTGATATCGACTCAAAAGCCGTATTCGATTTGGAGAAATATTGAGGATGGTATGGCTTGTCAATTTAATCTGTCAAAATTATCAGAATCGGGCTGTGTCAAGACAAGGTATGTGAATTCAAATTGAGAAATTTGACGAGCCTTGCTAATTTTCCTTGAAATTTAAGCGAGGATCTATGGTCTCATTTCGTCAGTCATGTGAGCGACATTTCACTCTATTTTCTTCACGCTAGCAGTAATAAAATCTTTCCATGACGCTTGCTTTGAGTATTGTTTCAATTGATATACCTAGGCATACAAAAGAACACTTTGCAATAGGTGCAGCAGTATGATATTGTATATTTCATTTTATTCACCAGTCTAGACAGTTAACACTTTGTACAAGTTCAGCACCCTCGCTCATATATTACAGCTAGGTATAATACATGACTTGCGACCATTCACTATACTTTTTATGAACTCTATGAACATCAGAAATATGCCCATGTATCAGCTATCCCCGAAATGTTTCTTGAGAGATTTAATAGAATTTGATCTCTAGTAAACGAGGTTTGGAATATTTCATCCATACGTCAGTAACAAGAACAATCGATCAAGATGAGAACTAAGATATCGGGGAAGAGTGGTATTGAAATATTATTGGAAACGAGCAGCAAACACATCCTAGAGGTCAATACTTTGATTTGAAGATACCATGTCACGTCAATTTCAATTACAAACAAATTGTTGATTACCAAAGAAAAAACAATTTTATCTATAAACGTTACTGAACTATGTACTTGAAAAAACGAGACCAAATTTCATTACATCAACGGAATATAACTCATCCATAACAATTCACGAAGCATCGAAATAATCACCACTACCCTCTATTTCCCAATCACCGGAGTCCCAAAAGCCCCCTCAAACGCCACCGCCAACCAAGCCTTCCTATCCCCCGGCATCTTCAGCGCTCCCTTCCCCGGCCAGCCCTCTATCCACCCCGCCATTCCATCCGCCTCCCTAATACACTCTTTCCAATCCCCCTCCCTCACATTCTCACCCTCCTCCACCATAACCACCACCACACTTTCCCACTCTCGAAAACCCTCTTCCATCAACGTCTTACTCCCATTCTTCAACCACCGCCTCTCAATCCTCAACCTCACAATTTTTCTCTCCGCCACTTTCTCCCTTTGTACGATCTTTGAAAGATGTCGTTTCAACTGCGACACATTCCACAACACCGGAATATCATGACACGCCAAATAATGCGGCGGCGCCACACCCGACAAATGCTGCTTCGCAGAACTAAAAATCGTAAGATTGAGACTGATTTTTCTGCGAGCAGCAGACTCAGCAGCATAAGCATGCATCCAAGCTATATCTAAAGGGGCCAATTCGTAGTCAGCCGGGATAGGAGTACGAATAGATGGAGATGGAGCATCAGAAGCTACGTTTCCAGCTCTCCCTTGCAAGTGTGTAGGAACTCTGAAATTCAACCAGGAGAGATCGGGAAAATTAATTCTGTCGGCGATGCTTCGGAAAAGTCCACCTCCTTGAGCCCTATTTGCAAGTGCAGCTGCCGCAGCTGCTGCTTCTTGATCATTTTTATCCTTTTCTTTCTTCTCACGTTCCTTTCTCTCCTTTCTGAGATCAGGATTTTGAACTTCTGACTGGAGGTTTTCTACTCTCACTGATCTTTCAATCTCTTCTTTTTCCCTCTGCTTCTTCGCAATGCGATCGCGTGCCAATCGATCTTCCTCATCTTTCTTCTCTTGCTCCAGACGTTTCTTTTTCTCGTTTTCTTTCTGCAGAAGTTCGTTACGTTCAAGCTCCTTCCGCAAACCTTCCATTTTTTCTTCTGTCAATCGATCTGTCTCTGCTTGCTCTACACGTTCATTTTCTTCATGTTCTTTCCGCTTCTGCTCACGCAGACCTTCCGCTAATTTCCTTCTCTCCTCCTTAATCCGAAGTCGCTCATTTTCTTTCTTTTCTTTAGCCTCTTCAGCCTCTTTAGCCTTACGTTCCTCCGCAAGTTTTTTCTCTTTGAGTGCCACCCCAGCCTGTTCTTCTTCCATCATTTTACGCACTTGCCGTTTGAGTTCGACCTCTTCATCTTGGGCTATTTTGTCCTGTCTTTTTTTCTCATCTTCCTGCTTTGCACGTTTTTCCTCAGCTTCTGCTTTTTGCTCCGCAGTCTGTGCTGGCCTATTTTTCAATTCATCTGCCCTCTCCTGAGCTAAACGGTCACGTTCTGTAGTTTCACGTTCTCGTTCCTCGCGTGCCAATCGCTCGGCTTTGTCTCTGGCTGCATAGTCTACCGTCGGTTTATCTTTTGCCGCCTCCGCATCCAATTTCTTTTTGGCCTCCGCTTCTTCATTTGTTACTCTGGCAGCTTCGATTTTTTTTCGCGCCATTTCTATTCTGCGGGCGGTGTCCTCTGCAATCTCCTTTTGCCTGCGTGCTTTTTTGGCAGAGTCGGTCTCAGTGGGTGGATTTCCTTCAGGCTTGTCCTTGTCCTTACCCCCATTCTCTCTCCGCGCAAGTTCTTCCTCTTCAAGTTTCCGTTTAATTTCTTTCACATAATTATCTAGATCCTTGTTTTTCTGCTTTGGCTTCACTTCGCCTGCTGACTTGGAAGGATTGACTGCTCCAGCTTTTGCCAGGAGATCATTTTTTATCTTCGTCAAGATATCTCCAGCGAAATCAACTGGGACGTCCGGCTTTTTCTTGTCCTCCTTATCTTTTAAATCTTTAGCAATCTTATCCCTAGCAATTTGATCGGCTTTCGCTTTTTCTTCTCTCTCTTTATTGATCTGATCTCTGACTGCCATCTCCCTTGTTTCTCTCTCTTTCCTCTCTTTCTCGGCTTTGTTTTCTTTGGCTATTTCATTTTTTCCCCTCTCCTCCTCCCTTTTCTTTTCTTCAGCTTCGGCTTTACCTCTTGCCGTTTCCGCATCCTCCAATTCTTGTTTCCTGAGTCTTTCATCTTCTTCCCAGGCAGTCGCCTCTTCAAGATCTTTCTTCTCTTTGGCAATTTTCCTCTGCTTGCGCTCCTTCTCCTCAAGAGCCATTAGCTCCTCTTTGGGCATCTTTAGTCTAGCGACAATTTTTTCTAATCTTTTCTCCGCGGTTTGAATCCGTTTTTGTCTTTTTTTCTCCTCGGCTGGGTCAATCGGACCAGGATTCATCACCCTCTTTTCTTTCTCCCGCATCAACTCTGAATCAATAAGTTCGCCTTCACCTGTCCTGACTACTTCCTCGTTATGTCTTACCATCTCCATGTATTCCAAGAAATCTGCTACCTCACGATTCGTTTCAAAAGTAAGACTTGACCTGTGTTCTTGAATCGGTGAAAGAGAGTTTTCGGCTCTAAAGGGTGAACCAGGACGTGGCTCAGGAAGTGGTATTTTCTCTTCTTCTTCGGTTGAATTTGTGCGAGGGTCTGTTTCCGCGGAATCTTTCGGAGCCAAAGATACATTAACGGTTGCAGCCGTCTCAACTTCTCCACTGTCTCCAACTACTTTAGGCGCCGTGCGGACACTGAGTAGACCTTTTCTTCCTGAATTCTTTTCACCTTGTAGAGATGGTTCAGGTAGAGAAACTCCCTTACCTTTAAGAGCCGTTACGAGTCCAGAAAAATCCATCCGTTTGCTTTGCCCAGCCACCAGTGGTTTGCTTGGCGTGTCACGTACTCCTTCAATATCCTCAATTGTCTTGTCAACTTCCGCATCTTCAACCTTTTTCTTTGCTACCTTTGCCGCTAGAGCGTCCGCAAATTGACGCTTCTTTGCCTCTTCCTCTTCCTTATTTGGCTTATCAAGTTGACGTAATTTCAAGAGCTTTTCCTCAGCTGCAGCTTTAGACTTCAGCCAAGCATCTTGCCGATTAGCTTTCACCTCATCCGCTTGTTCTTTCCACAGGTCGGTCAATTCCTTGTTTCTCTGGAGTAATATAGGTCGACGAATGTCTTGGAAAGCTTCCCAATAGGTGTCTCTCTCTTCCGAATCAGAGAATCCACCAATGTGATCAAAAAGATCCTCAAGTTCTTCGAGCGCATCTTCTTTTTCCCACTTATCTCTCAAAAGCTGTTCAGCAAAAGACTCTCGAAGTACCATAGATGGCGGTTGTTGTGCAGGTGCCGCGAAATGATGTCCAGCCTGTATATCTAGCGCCGCTCGCTCGGCAGGCGTCATATCCAACGCCCTTTTCCAAACGGAATCAGGACGCATGTGCATTTCGAGTCTTGCTTTTTCAACTTTTTCATCAAGTTCGATTTCGCGATCCAATTCTTGAAGTAGTTCCTGGAATCTGTGTTTCACTAGGACATTTGTTTCCAACTCCACATTATTTCTTAACGTATTCAGATTTTGCCGTTTGTCTTCCAACTTGATAGCTTCTTTGATACTAAGCGTGCACCTGATGATGACGTCTCGCAATTGGTGTATTTTGCCCTGTTCAGTTTCGATTTTGAGCTGGCGACTCGCTGCACTTCTCTGTTCAAAAAGCCATGCCAGATGTTTTTCGCGTGCGTCATATAGATCATTTTGCGCCAACGCTTCGAGTTCTTGAGCTGCAGTTTTACTTTCGGAACTTGTACCACGGTCCGTCCATTCCTTGAACTTTTCTTCGACAGTAGGTGACTCTGCAGGTTCGGCAGCCCATCTACGATACTTTTCTCTTTGGTCTGGAGAAGCCTACTTAGGTCAGTACGTGCAATTGTAAAGGATATATCACATGTACTTACATTAGAATCAAGCGGTAGAGGCATTGAGACAGGGTATCTTGGAGGAGACGCACCGTATAAACTGCCCTCATCATCTGCTACAGGTTTTCCAGCAGCTGATCTGTCTGCTTTGTCCTCTTCCAAAGTAGGTTGTTTTCCCTTGTCCGAATCTCCCTTCCCACTCTCCAAATCCTGATCACCTCCAGGTAAAACAGTCTTCTTTTGACTTTCTGGATTTTCTGTATCCTTACTATCCATTGAACTTCTTTCAGCGATAGGGGAGAGATTAAGATCTCCTCGCGGTCTTCGTTGTCGTCCACCTCGCCCACCCGATCTACCACCTTGCGAAGGGTAAACTTCTTCTGTCCTACCTAAAGGTGTCGTTGCTTGTGTAGCATCGAGGGGTTTCATTGCCGGTACAGAGACCGTGGAACCCCGAGCCCTTTTTGCCCGACGTTCTGCTCTCGTTTGTTCAACCCCGATCTGAACCCGAGTCGATAACACAGCTTGCATTCTAGCCATATCATAAGAGCCATCTGGATTTTTGAACTGTGAAATATCCAATGGTGGTGGTTTCGGTTTTGCAGGAGGAGGCATCTTGAAATTCAGATCCTTATCAGCCTCTGCAGGTTTGGGACTCGGCTGTCCTGTATCCTGAGCCGGTCTCCCAATGCCAGATAAATCAATCTCACCATCTCCCGTTCCCGGTAATCCAGGACTACCTCCACCACGAAGACCATCAGCAAAAACTTGCGAACGAATTGCAGGACGTGCATCAGGATCTTGAATTGTTCCTGAAAGATCAGCCGAGTCGTGACTGCTGAAACTACGTCCAACCTCAGTTCTGCCACTTAGACTTTGCGTCCTTCCTTCTGATAATGTCATCGAGCCGGGTCTTGAGTGCGGTGGATCTCGTCTACGGTGTCCAATTATGTCGGCCATGTTGTATCCAATTGTTATTGTACTTGAAAACGTTACGTGTGCGATACAAACGTTTCGGTAAAGCGATCGATTGCAGCAGCGATTATTTGCCGTGCAGACATAGATTGAATAGCTGGCTTTATGCATCGCGACCCCTTTGTTGAGTTCTAACTTGATCCGGCCACTAGAATCGTAGTCGTGATTAATTTTTCCGTTTCTCATATATCAAATCGTACTTACAAAGAAATGTGTTATGAACCGGAATTGGTCACATGCCTTTGATTATTCTCTTCAAATAGCCATAGCAGCCATAGGCCAACAATGTAGCTTTAATCAATGCCATGTGTATCATCAATGCGATTGTAAACTGTATTTGAGAAAGCCATTAAGAATCACGAGGCATGTCCATAGGAGATATATGCGAGCAAGTAGGATCAGGATGGGGACTCTGACCGCATCAGGCAGACAATCTAGACATTTGGACAATAACCGACCGCTTAAGATTTTCGTAGGCTCCACCCTGTCAACTTCATAAATAAGACGCACTCGATTTACAGCTTTTCTTGCCTCCCGCCCCTGCTCGAAAGCATGCATTGTCGTTTCTCGACCCAAAAACTTATGATCATACCACCATCGCCAATCAAGATCATCGAGGTGATCAATGAAAAGTGGACCGGCACCTTGCGTAACGTTTCCCGCCCGAAAGTTACTCCTCGCTGTATTGAAATGTATACCATGAAGCCATGTTTTCTTCCCACGTAAAATTAACGGTGCCGAACCAAATTCAACAATTTCTCCTCTGAAATTGGAATTTTCCGTCCCCTTATTGTAGAAGATAACAAAATCGTCAATCGGATGACTCCATGGAAGTGTACGCACCACTTGCGTCGATTGATGTGCGTGTAATGTATAGTTTTCGACTGTCCCTAAACTTTCAATGTCTGCTATATTCCAGCCCAAATATTTTAGTCCATTTTCCAGACATGCTCTACGTACTTTTATCGCAGCAAGAAGTGTTCCTACGCTATACCAACCTCGCCCACGAACCATTAAATTAATCATTGAGCTGAAACACAATCGATCTATCTTCCAATTGATATAGAACTGAGATCTTTTTAATGCTCCGCCATATATTGGACATGAAAAGTCTACATGGCTATAATGTCTGAGGGCTTCCACCCTAAACTGTCTGTTGACATGTAGGACCGGTGGAGGTTTAGTGTAAGTAATCAGTGAGCCTCCAGTGTAACCAGTCAATGACTCAGATCTTCCCACGGTCGTGACAATTCCGCGTGGACGAAATGATACATCGATGTTTCTTTGCTGGAAACAAGCCAACTTCCAAATATGAAGACGAAGCTCGATGGGTAGATCTGCAGAAGATCTAAATGTGCTCAAGGTCGCCACGGTTCTTATGATTATCGTGTGAGCACAACGAACGGTATTTGGACTAGAACGATGCCGAATCCCCAGGATAGTAATTGATTAAAAAGTCGAATGATAAGATCTGCTTCGAGGTGAGAATCTTAACACTTTGGAAAGATATTAAGGAACCTGCCGAGGAAGGGATTAATAGAAGTAATGAGGAAGATACCAGGGAATGTATAATAAGAATTAACAGAAGAATCATAACCGATTTGTTGAAGCAGAAGTCAGAGTTGCTACGAGGAGTGTTTTAAAACTACTATCCTTGTAGACTTGACCAGTGATACTACCTAGTAGCCGAGAAACTATAAATTCCAGAGAATGATCATCCTTCCCTTCAATTAGCATGAACCAAACGGAAAAACACCGTTTACATAAGCTGAGCTCAGTCTCCGATTGGACAGTCATCTTGTACAAAATGAAACATTACCTCTAGACTACCTCTAGACTCGTGTCTAGCTGCCAAAAATTCAGGGTTTGACGTCGCTGCTTATACATTATCGAAAGGACACCTCTCATCTCCAAAACAGGGCAGGTCCAATGAACAATTGATTACCCATAATGTTCAGGCATGAATTTTCCACAGATTGTTCGACTAGGTCAATGAAGGACCATTCAAAAGAAACTTCCTCCCACTTGGGGATTGGAGGTGTTGTGTGGTTAGTGAACAGTGATCGGAGTGGAAGGGAGGGTGTAGGAACCCCAAAGTGGCTTGAATAACATGAGGTGCCTCAGGATCACAGCATGAATCAGTCAGTAGTAGGATAGGGTATGCGCTCAATTCATCTCAACTACAGTAAACGAAACGAAACCAAGACAGGGTAGTGGAGGTAGGTGTATTATACGTGAGTCGGCGAACGAAAAGAATTGCAAGCATTGACCACCCATCTATCATTCAATCATTCCACGTCCTGCCAACAATTCGATCATTCCGTCGGCCATTCATACTATACATTTCATTCTTCCAATCCTTCCAACCATCTACCAACTCCAATCCTAATAACCTAATAATAGTAGTTCTCATCGTTCGTCCTTCCTCTCATGTACTGAGGCTCGCTTCCCCTTACGTAGATATCCTCGTACAAAATTTGTGGGGTCGCATCTGGGAAAGGCATCTCTTCGGCCTCCTTGACCTCCGCATCGACCTTGGCTCTTGCCTCCTTGTCAATGGTCTTCAACTCATCCTCGGTTGTGACGTTCCATTCGATCAACTTTTGTTTCAGACCAGCGATTGGATCTTGGGTGCTACGCATGCGTTGAATCTCCTCACGAGTACGGTATGTGGTTCCTGGATCGGACATGGAGTGTCCTCCATAACGGTATGTGACATATTCGAGGACTAATGGACCGTTACCAGCGTTGGCGTATTCCTTAGCGTGCTTGACAGCAGCCTTAACAGCGAGAGCATCCATTCCGTTGACCTTAAGACCAGGAATGTATTGACCACGCTTGTAGTAATCGGTAAGAGCAGAGGATCTGTTGGCTGCGGTACCCATACCATATTTGTTGTCTAAAACAATTAGTATACACTCAGCCTCATAGTCAGGTTAAATACTTACTCTCACAACCGAAGAGAACTGGCAATTTCCATAATTTAGCCATGTTGAAAGCCTCGAAGACTTGACCTTGGTTACTGGCACCATCACCGTACAAAGCAACAGAGACATTCTTGTTGCCATTGTATTGATGAGCAAAAGCCAAACCAGCACCAACTGGAACCTGGGCACCGACAATACCATTTCCACCATAGAAACCCTTGGTGAACATGTGCATGGAACCACCCTTTCCGTAGGCGATACCCTCACGACGACCCAACAATTCACCAATGATAGATTTTACGGAAGCACCACGCATAAGAGCGAAACCGTGGCATCTGTAAGCAGTAATAATGTCGTCTTCCTTGGTAAGGGAGTGTTCGATACCGACAGCGACGGCTTCTTGACCAGTTGACAAATGGCAGAAACCACGAATTTTCTTCTCCTTGTAGAGTCTATCGGCTGCCATTTCCATACGACTAAATTTTCCCATCAGCGGAATCTTCGGTCGTGATACCAAATCATGTTCTTACCGCATAGAAACCATATCGATATACATCTGCTTTAACTCTTTCTTGGTGGTCTCCATGGTGTAAGATGGAGGATCGAGCTCGTAGGTCTCGAAAGACTCGTCCGATAATTGTAATGTGAATGGCTTGTCATCTTCCTATAGTCCCAGAGAATCATTAATATACGCATTCCATGTATGCAATGATCAATTGGGATAGCTCAACAGGAAATCTTACCTGAGGAACAGCATCTTTATCGGCGTGCGCGGAGGCGGCGTCTGTGGTAACCGTTCTCTTTACGAGGGCAGCTCTGGAAATGGCATTTCTGCGCAGAGGTGCGGCAGATCGTGCCTTCAATGCTCTCGAGAACATGGTTGTGGTGGTAGAGAATGTGTTGTAGGGAGTGAGGGAGGCGGAAGATAACTCGTGGAAATTTCTCAGCAGCTGCCAAACAAAAGATGTTGATGGTTGGGATGCTTCGATTACAGTAGTCCCATTTTGGTTTAGTTCGGACAGATTGTTCCTCAAGCTTCCGACCCAAAATCACGTGTAACGGATATTTTAGAGCCCGACAATTCACCATTCGGCCTTACTTGCGGACCCTCTTGTCCAACTCGGGTTTCCATGTTTAGTCTTCATTTCATCGATCACCCAAAGAAGAAAAGCCAAAGCATAGATTTGATTCTTTCGCATTTCTACTATGCTACCCTACCAACTGAACAGACAAGCTTAAGCAAGTAACTCCCTGACCTTGGGGAATCCCTAATGCAAATTCTCTCGATGCTACGCCGTTAAATCTTTCCCTTTGAACTGTCCCCCTTCCATTTGCCCTATTGGTATTTGAGCTATTAAAAATCATCTGTACCATTCTGCCAACCAGTCAAATGAAAAACGCCCTGCCCCAGATGCTTCTTTGCTTCTTTATAAACAAGTCTTCTGTGCTTCGATCAATCAAAGGTCAATCAATATAGACATAAAAATAGGTAGGTGATGTATAAGGATTGCGGAAGGATGATAGTGAAATATGTGAGACCGTATTCTCTCACTATATCGTAATCATCTCTCAATGGAGAAGTGATAGTAGTGACTATAGATTCCATGACCCAGTACGTGAAAGAAGCAATCAGAATTAGTGAGTGCTTTTTATATAGATTAGTTTAATGGCCCGAATCAGTCATCTTCGTGAAAGAAAGTTGGCCCGGTAGCTTGTGGAGGAGCTGTCGATGGTCCAGCATCGACCATTTCAATATCATCCCTCTGATAAGATGCTTCATGTGTCATGATTCCTTGCATAGCTTGGTCTTGGCTACCACTCCGATATTCAATGGCACTTAACGGTCTAGCTGGCCCAGTTATGGGAGGAGTTTGTTGGCCATAGGGGTTCTCATACAGAACATCTTCTGGAGGGGAAAATGACCACACCTTTAATTGTGTTAATATAATTCAGGAAAAGAGGAGGACTATGGCACTTACTTCCATTATAGTGCGATTTGATCTGCTTGCCATAACCACACACTTTTCTTCTTCAAAGGCCACTCTCCAGACAGCCTCGGCAGGAGCAGTGAGTTCACGAACAAGTTGACCAGTCTTGAGATCCCACACTTTGACTCGGCCATCACTACCTCCACTGACCACTCGTGTATCGTCAAATTGTAAACTTGTGACACTATTGTCATGAGCAGCTAGTCGATGAATTGGGGCCATCTTCTCAAGTGACCAAACACGAACAGACCCATCAGAACCACCAGTGACCAAAGTGTTTCCTCGCATTTGCAATTGCCCAACTAGCGAAGTGTGTCCTTGAAGAATAGCTTGACAGGATCTAATCATTTGTTAGTAAGATTTTTCACATCTGAATCGAGAATACGTACCCATTTTCTGGATCCCATATCCGAACACTGGTGTCAAGACTTCCAGTAGCTATTCTCTTTCCGTCAAAAGCAATAGCATAGATTTGAGAGAAATGTCCCGAGAGTGTTCGTAAACATCTTCCCTCTGAGATGCTCCACACTCTAGCTGTAGTATCATAACTTCCAGAAACAACAATATCTCCTTTGATTTCTAGGCATCTAACGCTTGCTTGATGACCCACAAGGACATTTTTGCAAACTCCAGTCTTAATATCCCAGATTCTTAATGTGGTATCTCGAGAGCCTGAAATTGCCGTGTTTGCATCAGACATCTTCAGGCACCGGACTGTGGAAGTATGTCCACGCAGAGTATGTAAACTCTCACTGTTATCCGTTAGTACCAGGTCTCAAACATGTAATTGGCAAAACATACCCAGCAGCCATATCCCATACTCGCACATCACGATCACAACCTCCACTAACGAGGGTATCCTCCCATGGTACCATTGCCCAAACACCCATTACATGCCCGGTCAAGGTCTTTTGCGCGTTTCCATCCGTGTTGAAAACATGGATCTTAGCGTTGTCCAATGCCACGACAATGTACTTTGGTGTCAGATGTAGACTTGTTACAACACCCTGATCTTGTGTAATATGCCTTGCGATATTTTGTCCTCCAGTCCTCCAGGCGGTTTCGACCAAATATCTTTGTTTAAAATGTGATTTATATGACCTGATCTTTGGTCTTCTCAATGCGCCAGAGGCAGTAGCACTATCAAAGCTTCTGGAACTTCCAGGAACTTGTGACAATCCTGCGCTGATTCCGGGAAAGGAATGTGCAAGGGCTGAAGTCTCTCCTGCTTGTAATGCCTTATGAACGGGGTGTGGAGGAGGTCGAAGTGACGGTATTAGAGGTACAACGGGATGATGTTCTGACATTCTTCGACCATAATCGTGCTTCGCACATAATTTCATCCAAGTAACATCGTCTGCAAGAAGATCTCTCCAACGTTTCGAAACCTGGGACGAGCGCGCAAGTACTTTCGGATCGTCGATACAAGACAAAATCTATATGAAGCAATTAGCTTGGGCTTCACCTTGTGAAAATGGAAACATACACGAAGGCATAGTTCATCTGGTAAAGTGGTAAATGGATCTTTCTTCAGTAACGGGCTAACATATTGATGTACAAAGCTTAGTTGTTGGCTTGTGCACAAATTCAAAAGATCTCCTAATATCCTCGTTCTTTCGGGTGCTGAACTTTGCGCGAAGTATATTCTGATTTGTGATAAAAATATGTCCTCCTTTTCTCCCGCTTCACTCCAATCTGGTTGCGGGTGATCAGGACCTGGACTTGCTGCCGGTGTAGGGGGAGGAGGGGGGTCATGACTCGAGTGTGTGGGAGATTGTATATCGGCGGAAGAAGTCGTCATATTTGGAGTCGGAGGACCTCTCGGTCTACTGAGAATCTTTTCTAACCTTTGCGGCATGGGAATGCGTTCGCCATTTGTGTCGACCGTTAACGCTCGGGTGGGAGACATTTCGCCGTCTCTTTCAATGGGTGCAATGGAAGCCCTTCTGTCTGTTAAGCTCAAAGGTCTGAAATTATCCATACCCGCTTTCTTCTTATCCTCTACTTTCAACCAGTTGTTCCGTCTAGGTTGAACGGTTGAGAAAAGGGGATAATCGTAGATGCGGAGGTCGTGAAGGTCTTTCCTGACTAGAATGAGGCTTGGGGCCAAGGGAAGGATTTGGATTGACAATCAACAGATGAAATCTCGACCATGGAAATTATAAACAATTGCGCCAATTGATAGAAAGTCGAATATATTAAATTCAAACCAAGGAATCGTCTCTTAACGTGTGTTAAAGGCGGTGATGAGAGAAGGTCGTGCAACGTAGTGTCCAAGGGAACACATTCGAATGCGTTGTCGTTAGGGTTGAAACTCGATGATTAATGGCACAATTTGAATCAAGGATGTGTTAATATCTATACCGATCACGAATATAAATGGCAAGAATCAATCGTAATGATATGGTCTATACTTGTTGAATTGTTTGGCGATAAGACAATATTCAAAAAGAGAGTAATATAAATCCTTTCGTACTTTTAATGTACTTTGTACGGGCTGGGCTGAGGTTGATCTTGAGATGAGAGAGAGTCTTCTGTGTGGTAAGCCAGTGGAAGTGGAACGTCGTGGGTCGTGGGTCGTGGGTGGATTGTGCTAATTGGAGTTAATGAACTTTTGGGTGGTCTCAGTCATTATTGCGGTCATGCCTAGTAGGCAGGGATAATTCGTTAATGAAGTAAGGATGTTGAAGAACTTTAAAGTGGAAAAAATGGATGATCATTTGTTATGTATGTTATCACGAATGGCGTCTGTATGATATGTACGGCCATTCCGAGTTTGCTCGTTGACTTGGATGGAGATGTTTTATGGATGATGTCCTCGACTTGAAGATATCCAACTCAAGGGATGACAGGTCACTGCAAACAGACAATCGTATATGGTAGGATCACCTAGTACTGGATGGATGGACCTCCAAGGTTATTGTTACTCCTTTATAAATCGAGGGGTAGATCTATCTGTCCTGTCTGCACTACCTAGGTAGTATCTATTGAAGTATCAACATCACTCGCTCCTAAGTCGACAAATGATTTCAGGTCTTCGTCGTCATGACTTATCGATAGTGTAGAATTTGGAAAGACTGTCAGCTAGAACTGAGATCTTTCAATCTCTATCTAAACACCCGCGTAGTAGTTCGATGAGAGCCTCAGCGAAGGAACTCTATGATATCAGGGGGGCTTAAGTTCTGGTACCGATTCTTTGATTGACTGATTGAGTTGGTGGTGGTGGCGGTGGAACTGTCATATACCTAAAAACATCCCATTCAAACCCAAAATTCTAAATCTAATTTTTCCAACGCCTAATAGCAATCAAGCGTCTAGGTAGCGTCGCCATCGTTACCCAAGTATCCTATATGTTATCCTCTCGTCACATAGGTACTCTTAGGAAAGTTATAAGAAGCGAATAACATTTTCTACGCAGTGAACGTTCATCTCATCCAACCTATCTAGCGTGATCAACAGTAGCAGCAGTACCATGAAATCTAGAATACCCAAATAAGCAACATATCAGTGCATACCACATGACCCATTTTGTCTTTCACCAACACACACACATTATTAATCATCACAAATCATACTCTTGGAGCCAAACCTACCACATGATATCACGAATCATTGCAATCGAGAATCCACTCCTTCATCTTCATAAAAGGGGGGGCGAAAAACTCACTTGCAACTCGTGCCGTGCCACTAAATAATCTAATCTAACACTACCTAATCGCCTCCCTTTTGTTATCGCGATAAGGCCTCCTAATAAACATTTCCCAGATACATCATCGCCATGCTCGCCAAAATCGGGAGCACGATCACGTACTTTTCAATAGTCAAAGATTAAACTCAAGGCTTAAGCTAAAATACTGGAAACAGAAGGCTGTGCATGTGTTTTTCTCGTTTCAAATCCTCCAACCTTTTTACCCCTTACATTTCGTACTTTTCTTAGTCTTTCTAAGGTTTCAATATCGAAAAGCGCAGGACTTTTCATCCAGAGCAATGAAGCGAAACCAATCCGCATTAATATCATAAATACATCTGAATTGTCTGTTCTCTAAAAATAGTATGGAGTCAAAGGGTCCAGTGTTTCGAGATCCAAAGTTTTGTCTCGGAGTGGAGCTTTGATGTAAGCGAATTATGCGTTCATCTCCCCCCTCTTCATTTTCTAATTGCAAACCTAATAAGGGGAAAATAATCGAAATAATTATCCTAAAAGTTCCAATTGGTAGGAACGTACTATGATTGGTATCGTATTCCTTCTTCCTGTGCACAATCTATATCTTACAGGAACATCCATCTGTGCGTTTTATCTTCTGCATTCTCGTGCTGGACGAGCATGAGTTTCTATTCCATTCCATTCCATGCCCTTTCTCCTCTCTTTGATATATACATAGCCTTCCTTCATCTAACCGTCCACTCAATGGTCATGGCCAAACTGTGTTAATAGTGGGATCAACATTCCCCCGACCGCCGCGAGCGTATCTCTCATTTGCGGTTTCGCTTGTTTACGTTGTGACATACCGTCAAGATACCCATTGGAATTTGTGTGTTCATGGGAATATACCCCCGAATCTTCTTGCATAGCATGCATTGCGACGTATCTATTCACTTGTTATTATCCCTGTCTGTATTTGGTTCGTTTGTTAAGAATTAGGGGGTGCTTACAAAAAAGTTCCACCAGAAAACAATAATAGCATTCCCGTCCACCATTGTCCTTTGGCCCCCTCAATATTTCCACCACCAAGAATGTTTACCAATAGGAACGTCGTGATGGCACCGAATGGAGCTGCGAGACTAAAAACTATGAGATGGCCACGTGCTGCTCGTTTCGAAAGGCCTTGCTTCAGTAAGACGGATGTAAGTCCAAAGGCGGCAGGCGCCTTATGGACCATGATAGCAATGAAAATGATAAACCCTAGTTTCGTGTTGGATGTAGAGGCGGACGCGCCCATAGCTATTCCATCTGCCGACGCATGTATCACAAGCCCTGTCGTTGTGGCCAGACTACGACTTTGCTTCGGGCTCGGCGTGAGTGATTGGAAGAAGCCGTCTGATTCTTCATCAGACGAAGAGATGTTTGATATTCCTTGAGATAGATTGTTAAGAGAAATTTGCCTTGGAGCTACCGGGGTTTGTAATTTCTCGGAAGCATGCCTTGGAACTTTGTCAATTAAGAACATAAGAATGAATCCTAGAATCAAAGATAAACCAATCCAGAATGTAGGTGATTCGTCCTCATCGTGATGCACATCACTTTCACCCGTTGGTTTCTCCTCCGACTTTTCTGGTGCACTATTTTCTTTTTCCTCTGCCAGAGTTTCCCTGGTGATAATCTCAACTTCTACGGGCTGCGAAGTTTCGGGATTTAGCTGGGCATGTCTTCGGTTGATAATTGCTTTGTTCGAGTATGCGATTGTGTTGACTCCACCAACCCATGATAGCTCAGAGCTTCTCTCTTGAACCTTCATACTCCGTGCTCCATGAGTATGTGCCGAGGACCCTGCAGTATATACTGCTTCAATTCCTTCGGGTATGATAACAACCAGCGAAGTCCCGACAAGTACTCCCATACCAATCGTAGATATTAATCGAAGTTGGGACGGCGATAAGGTCATAGACAATGGAATTGCTCCAGCAAGAAAGCAACTAAATACCTCATCAGCACATGAATTGCAAGCTTTGAGTAGGGGAATTACCTCAAACACATTATCACGCTCAAGATGAGCAACATGAATAAGCCGTCGAACATCGTGAATACCCTCTATTTGCACCTTTGAAATCTACGTCGCAATCCTATAAATACCAAATCAAAAGGAATATCACCGCTTCATTTCGAAATCAGAACCACGGTAGGTAGAAAGGGGACAAGACAGTTTATTAAAATCCTCGGAAAAGCAGGTGAAAGATATTTTTGCCTATGATTGCGCACTCCCACTCCCTTTATAAAGAAATTAATTCGTCACTCCAGGATGACAGATTTGGGGTCTTAACTCAATGCACGAACGAGGCTGAACTACCAGATTGAACTAAGCTAATAATAAAGAGTGCCACATTGCTAAGTAATTTATTAGAAATCCCTGTAACTTCTGGGGAGAAAACGCGTCTCGGCGGAAAATCACTCTACTCCCTACGCGATTTAATAAGCTCTGGTGAAGCTTTGAACCTGTACAGAAATATTTACAATTGGTCTCAATTGACAACGACAATTATTATTCAACAAACCTATCTACCTTTCGCATTAACAGTATCAGTAAAATCATTGTCGCGAAGATGGCCGAAATCGATTCTGATTGTAGGTTTTAACAATTTCTGTCACCCAAAGTCCTTTTCATTGTTCCCATCAATCGGTCGTATTCCTCTCAAAATATGCTGTCTATTGCTTCCCCCCCCAATGCTCCGTGTTGAAGTGTATGCGCCGATGAGCAATATTTCACGAAGATCAATTCTATACTTCATAAAAGCTAACATACTGAAATCCAGGGTCGTCCGATTCAAATGAAGCCATATACATCTCTCTTGTCACCCCAAGCACCGAAGGCATAACCTCACTTCATACCTTCAATCCAAAATTCACATATCCCATATTCGGGGACGAGGAATCAATATTTGGATATCAGGGATTGAGAATCAACTTAAAATATAATGCCTGTGATATGCGACCTGGCCTTCAAATTACCTACAACAAGAAATTCAAAGCAGTCGGTGATATAGAACCAACAGACCTGAAGGCAGTGCTGGAGCCATTCTTACCTAAGAGTATGTCCGCTTCTCTGAAGCTCCCAAAAACTGTTACTAACATCAGCACAGCTGCTTTTGAAAAATCAAGTGTTTTTGAATCGCATATTTCAGCTACCCCAGCAGATTGGCATCCACCAGGAGAACTCTTTCGCGCAATTGAGGTCGGTGGAGAAATATTTGAAATATGGAAAGGCAATCTCTCGGATCCGGTCATTCAACAAACCATCAAGCGGGTGCAAACTCTAGTCCCATTGTTTATTGAAGGAGGAACATTGCTCGATCTTGATGAATCAGAAGATGACCTTGGACGTTGGACAGTATTCTTCTTGTACCACAAGAAACCAGCCGCAGCCTCATTTTTTGAGAAATCTTCATCCTACATATTCATGGGCTTTTGTACTGTTTATCGATATTTCGTATATACGCCCGCTACTCCTCCACAATCTCCCGATGGCGACAAAATAGCTCCCGAGTTCACAATCCCTGTTGATGGTGTATCGTTTAACACTCTTCCATGTCGTTCAAGGATATCGCAATTTCTCATTCTACCCCCTTTCCAAAGCGGGGGCAAAGGATCACTATTCTACAATGCCGTATTTGACTACTTATCCAGTGACCCATATACAAGAGAAATCACAGTGGAGGATCCAAATGAAGCATTTGATGATTTAAGAGACATCAACGATTTAGGTCGCTTACTCAAAGACGAACGTTTCCTCAAACTAAGACTGAACTCAAAGGTGAAAATTAACCCTAAAGGTCCAGCACCAGCCAAACTCTTTGACACCGATGCATACGAGAAGCTACGAGTTCAATCAAAAATCGCCCCTCGACAATTCGCTCGTCTTCATGAAATGTATCTACTATCTATAATCCCCCCGTCCGCCAAAGCAGCCCTTTTGCGCGACACGGGAAAACCACAAAAGTCTCTCCCGCCTCCCAGGAAAGAAGATGAACACATGTATTATCTCTGGCAACTCCTGGTAAAACAACGTCTCTATCGTCACAACAAAGATGCATTGGCACAATTTGATCGTGGAGAAAGAATCGATAAATTGAACGAAGCTTTAATGGGCGTAGAAGCTGATTATGGAAGACTGATTGAGATGGTCGAGGAGAGAATTGAGATGGATAAATCGACTACTGTTGGAAAGGGGAAGGGAAAGAGTGTGGCTAATGGAAATGGAAAGAGGGCTGCTAGTGAAGAGGATGATGAGGATGATGAAGATGATGAAGATGATGAAGATGAAAATGAGGAGCCTTTGGCCAAGAGGTTGAAGTTTGCTTCTTGAATAGCATAGGTGGTAATATGGTTAGTATAGGATGGAAGAGGCACGTGTACTAAAAGTGGTATCGCAAATTGGTACGCACTATATCATGGAGTTCGGGTGTGATTGACTTTAGGGATGATATCAGGGAATGCTTGAAATCTTTGGTTTTCGGATGGGAAAGAATAAATCTGGAGAGGAAGAATGAACATTAAAGTCAGGCAAACTTCAGACATCAGTACGCAACGAAATTCAAATGATATTTGCGCCAAGTATTTCGGTATTCCATCTCATTTTGACCGATCATCTTTCCATTCCGGCCGTCCATTTCTCATCAACAAACACTAAGCCCAACCGTTCAACCTCAAAACCTAAAATCTCGTCCCATTAACCCCCACAACTCCCTTTTCAAGCTACCCCGCTACAACCGTCGCTTCTTTTATTGTTCCCCTGACTCTTCCCTCCTCAATCAAGCACTAACAATCCTCCTATCGTACATCCACTTAGCTTACTCACCTTATTTTTCAAAAGCGCAGGATGTTCACATGAAAGAACCAAATCAGCTGCTCCGCGCATAGTCTGGACGGCGAGGACATTTTAGTTTTGAAGGACGGTGATGGAGGGTGTGGGAAGATAGGGAGCTAATTCTTGTTGTACTCTTTTTGCGGACTCGGCGCGGCGGACGCAGACGATGAATTTGGAGGGGAGATGGGTGGGTGGTTCGATTGGCGAAGCGGGAGTTGATGTTCCTGATGTAGATGGGAATTGGGGTTCGAGTCGTATTGAGAGAGCTGAGTATTCCAGAGAGGATTGCCATGTCCATTGTTCCTATAATCAAATATCAGTATTGGATTTTGCTTTTGATTCATGTTCTGGTATGGCTCCCAAGGAAAGTTAGCTAAACAGAAGGTAATAATTCACTAATCATTGGTATACTGAACAGATGTGCATAAAAATTGAGTTTGGTCTACAAAATACTGCTGTCCAAGTGAATAATTTGATAGATACAGAAATATAGCAAAGTGACACATGAATATAATTTCTCTGCACATGTGGGAGAAGTACATATCCATTTCTCGTCCCAGCGCCTACAAGAACAGATACGGACGACCGATGGCTCCTACTGCACTTGAGAAGCACTTCACCGTTGCCAAAACAATGAATTTAAATTGGCAATGTGATCTTCACTTGACTCCATCTCTTCGAGTCAATAAAAGAGGTCCAGAAAAAACAAACGCACAAACATACCACAACCAAGAACTGTCAAGGTCATGTCTGACTCCGTATTCTCAATTGAAGTACTCATACTGATTATTTAGTCCTTCAATTGGAGTTCTTATCAAAGTAAGTGGTTCTAATAAATTCTTGAAGTATCTTCTACATATATACCCCTTGTTTGGAATGTTGAGGTTTAATCTTGAAGTTAAAAGTCAAGCAAAGCTCCCTTCCCCACCACACCAAAATACTGCCAACGCTCCACCGCCCAAATTTCACCCGACAAAGCGTAGTGCTTCAAAACTACATCATGGATACAACCAGACCAGCTCCACTGCGCAACAGTAAACTACTCAATTCCATTGAAGAGCCGACTTCTCGCGCGAATTTACCAGATCCCATACCAAGCAAACCGCTCAAAGCGAAGGTCAAGCCAGCGCAAAAAGAGATGGATCCCTTCGAAGTGCGCATTCGCTTTACGCAATATTTGCAACATCTGAATGCGAGTGTTACAAGTGCGAATAAGACGGCACAGTATGCGTTGAAATATAGGGATATGGATGAGGATTTGCATAGTTGCATTCTGGAACAACTAGAGAAAGTACGTCTATGATTTTTGGTTATTTTGTGTCTAGAGATTGGATTTGTGGGAATCAAAAAGAAGGAAGCGCGTTTCTGAAATTTTATGGCAGCGACTTGGCTTGTTAGAAAAAACGTAGCTGACCCAAATTCAGAATTCTATGAACAATAGGGCGAACATCATGTTTTTCATCGAAATTCTGTGTGATATGGCATCGAGAGAAGGACACGATGATTATGTACGCATGATGCAAAGAGATATTCTACGGGTAGTTGATGCCGTTGCGCCGGAAGATGGATCCGGAGCAGCCAATGTCAAAGTAGTGCGCAAGGTTCTCCAAGGCCTTCAACAAAAATCCTTCCTCTTACCTCAAACTGTCACGGAAATTGAGGAATGTCTCAAGGAACGCGATACCCAGCCCGACGCACTCATGTCTTCTCCGCCCGCAAACGAAGCCAATGGAAATGGAACTTCACAACATGCTACTCCCAAACAAGCCAAACCGAATGGAGTAGGGAGATTGGATAAGAGACAGATTGAACAGAGAATTGAAGAGGATCGCGAGAGACATAAGAGATTGAGAGAACATATCTGGGCTGTACCGGCCTCGGGACCCAATTCGGAATTCGATAAATTGTGGGATGAAACGAGCGATTTGGGAGATGATGATATGGATTTGTATGAAGAAGAAGCTATGGAGAGAAAAGAGGCCGGAAGGGAATGGTTCAATGAGCAAGTTCACAAAAGCAGACTTGAAAATCAATCTTGAGTAAAGGGTTACTTTTCCCCGGTCATGGCGTTAAATTGTATCATATGGCGGAGTTCGTGCATTGGCGTTCTACGATTATTCGGGTATACCGGGGATCATTATGTGGCATGTACTTGGACGGCGCGGTTATATATAGGTTTAAGGACTTTTGCATCGCGCGGCTATATAGTCTCAGGTGCTCATTTGTGTGGACAACATTGAGGAGTCAGCACATAAAAATGTGGTAATATCATTTTGTTTTACGGGGGTTTTGTGTTGTAATTTCGCTCTCAATACGGAAACAGGACATGTGGGATCTTTCAAATTATGGCACCTATCCTGTCAAATAAGAGATAAATAAGCATTTTCTCAAGATTACTTTTACTGCCCTACAAATTTCCTATTCCATCGAAAGTATGGAAGTATCGGGCAACATAAATGTTCTTACCAGTGTATACAGCGTGCCTCCTGTGCTGCGTGCCCATCTTCGCATCCAGCCACAATTCCGCCTGCGAATCTCACATTCTGGATAGCATTTTCTTTCCGTTATAATTCCTTGTGTGTATTCGAAGATTTCGAAGTGCATTGCGATGACAATGAGCCACATTAACCCTCACAGTAGTAGGCCAATTAGTTCTTGATGTAAGACGTTGGGTTTAGTGTGTGGGTGAAAAGTCGACAAATAACAAGCACCAGCTTCCACTTGATCTTACTAGCGAGATTCTCTCAGACCAGAAATCTTTTCATATCAAAAATTGGGATTTTAAAAGAATTTACCTTAAGAATAAATGTTCTTTTGTTCTTTTGTCATAAGTTTCGGTGTCTTGTTGTAGTGTGGTTGGTATCTTTTTTCTAATGTTCCTATGGTCCTTTTTGAGTTCGCGAGGGTGGTAGTCTGCTTTGCCTGGTTGGTTGGAAGGTTATATAAACAATGTGTTGCCAGACGGTAGAAAACGAAGAAATTCATCGCAAGGAATGGAAGTTTTGATTCTTATACGACATATTCTTTGCATTTTATGTCTAGTCGAGTACGAACTGACGCTCGCACTGAGCGGGAAGTTTGCCTCGCACGTCTATAGATTGGAATTTGATCATTCAAGCCCATTGAGTTACTCAAGTATTGTGGGAAATTAACTGGGCTCTCTTTGTTTGGAATTAGTTGATGGCAATCCCGCAATCACATACTGCAAAAATCGCTTTCGTAATGAGGGTTCTCATCTTCCTAACCTTGATCCATTTCATGACTTATCTTCTTTTTCTACATCTTGTATGTAAATGTGTCGACACTAACTCTTCTGACTACATAACGGAATGGATTATCATAATTCACGTCAATTAAAAACTGAAACCCTTAACATAGAGCTTATTCCTAGAATCAAAAATTATTGAACAGATTCAGAGCTACTAGCGAGCTCTTTTCATAGATTCCTAGCCAAATGATCTAAAGTTGGTCTACATAAGGGAGACCAAAGATTATTTTAAAAGCGTTGTTCTGTCTTTTGATCTTCTTCTCGAGCCTGGATTCTGAACCAAGTTCATTATCTTCTCAATCCCCTTTTGCTTTCTATTTGTAGACATAGACGCCTCAGAGACCGAGGAGTCACTGAAATCTTCGTCTTGAGAATATCGAGAGTTTTGTTTTGCAGAAGGTGTGAGTTTCGACGAAGAACTAACAGTCATATCCCGGGCACGTCATTTGGGGGTAGGTACTGGCTTTGATGAAGCTGGCTTCCTTGAAGACCGCCGCGCTGTGTCTGATACTGAATCTCGTGTTTCATTGCTTCGCCCTCGAGGAGAATGCGTTTGTGAGATTTTGGGTGACCTCTCACGACCTGTATGTGAACGCGGCAATAGTTTATTGCACAATTTCAAACAATCTTCAAGGGTCCCATAGTCAGATTTCGCTTTTTGCAATTGATTTTTCAACACTCGACGCTCTCTGTCTTTACCGGTTGCGTTCTTAAGATGGTCGTCTATACGCACGTATAGATTATACCGCCAATTACTCCGCGATTTAGCAGGTTGATGTGAAATTGTTGCTAGAAATTCTTTGCGCTGTTTATCTAATTCATCAAGAGCTTCTGGGGCCTGTCGTTCGCCCTTTTTCAACTCGGACGCTGTAGGATGCAAGTAGTGGCGGGATGTATCAAGAAGCGCTAAAGCAGATAATTCAAACAAAAGCTTCCCCAACCATGCTTCACGTGAAGTGCCATTCAGTTGTAGCATTTTATCGGCAAGTTTGAGGGAATCACTGTAGCCCTCACCGGCATTAGCAAAACATACCGCTTCACTCATAGCACCTCTCGCTTTAATAAGCATATCCCCCCGCTTTATCTCAAGGTTTGAACGTCCGTCGCGAAGCAATTCTTTGACTAGGCGTGAGAGTTTAGATTCGCTTTTACTGAACCCCCATTCTTTTTCCTGTATGTCAGAGGATTGTAATTTATGATATATCTTGCGATCACGATCATGATCAAAACTTGTATCATCCTGATAAGGGCGACGTATCTTACCATTGAGCCATTGATCCAGAAGATGGGAATAGCTTTGGAATCGAGCTTCTTGTACGTTAGACATCTCGTTACGGAGATTGAGTTTTTTAGTCCTTGCAGCTAACCATGCCCAGAATTTCTCTGCTTTAAATCTCTACCCAAGATCTCTTGTCAGTATATACTATTTGAAGAATTATGATCAGATACTTACTTCATGTGCCATCCACTCTTCCTTGCCATTTATAGAGATCATTGTGTTCCAAAATCTCTTACCAAGAATTTCAAGATCCGACTTATCAAGAGGTTCGTTTACAGAGCCACACATGACACTAAACCATCGCTCGGTAAACTCACACAAAAGAGTATAGTCCCAATTCACAGAAGCTTGACACCGGTCATCAAGAAGATTGACTCGAACAGCATTCTTGTAGCTCACGCCAAATACAAGTCTCGCAACCTCCACAGCTTTTTTGGGACTATCTTCTGAAAATTTCCCAAGTAATATCACTGACTGGCCATGTTTTTCATCTTCATCTCGAAAGCGATAATATTGGCGAGTGTTACGTTGAAGCGCTAATCTGTAAAACGTCATGGCCAAGATCTGGTGGATTAAACTACCTTTGATACATCTGCAATGAGGAAATTCTTCCGATTATATAGTTGTGAATGGGCCATTATAGAATGCTTGTAAGAAAATTTCATCTTCGAATATTGGTTTTGACATGCATCACAGCAAAACATGTAAGTAAGCAAAATAGCAAAATATGCTGAACGGTGAGCTGTAGATAGAGACGTTGGGGGTTGGGTTGAGGGTCTCGAACACTACGTGCAACGCTTATCGTAACCCATCAAATTGAAATAATGGTCAACGTGGGACAGCAAACAACATCTGAAGTTATAATATTGAGGACGAAGGGTGCGATAAATCGTAATCAGGGCAAATGACTGACATATAACGACCTTAATAAATAAGATATCAGCGAATTACACCATTTGTAATGCTTTCTGTCGAAAACTGATTTATCCCGCACTAAAAAGTACACGGTATGACAGAGTAGACCGAATCGGCTATTTTCTGGCCGATGAAGTTAGCCGAGCCCCGTGAGAGGTACGGATTTGAGGAACCTGCCCGCCCGCACGTATCTATTATATGGCATCAAGAATGAATATGCAGCTATAAATCTTGTGTGCAGTCTCTTTGGTCATTATAAGACTGATAATAGAAGTGGTTATTGTAAAGTAGTTCTACACTTAACATAGCCGCAATATACGCTCGTCATAATTTTTCTGGTTAGTGCCCTTGTTTTTCGGTGGATATTTAGGTCTCATTATTTTGCCAGAAAGAGAAGGTCTACAACCTCTGATATCTCCATTGGATAAGCCCTCGGATCTGACTATGAATCTAGTAATGCATCGAAAAATTTGAGAAATATGATCATGCAATACTAGTCATTCACTACGAGGTCAAATATCAGAGCCCCTCATGCAGAAAATGCGATATCGCATTGAGACTTTCTGTTCCTTCATTCCAAAATAGGTCTAATAACCTCAACGTTTCAACATACTTTATCAAATTATCAATCTTGCGACCTCATATGTAGGATTCATCTTTCATAACCTTGTCGCTATTATTACCATCGAGGATCGACCACCCTAAGGCTATTGACAAACAAGCACTACATATTTTTGACCAGCTCATTTTTTGGATCAATCATTATTCAATTTACAACTCCACAAAAAGAATTTGAAGAGGCAAGCATCACTTAATGAGATATAAAAACGGAGCATTAAAGAGGACGACTGATAAAATGATTTGAAGAGAGGATATCCGTTGCCTCTTGGAGGTATGGGTATCCAATAGCTTAGCTCTTCTCGCCAAAACCGTTTGTGATCGCGAACACAGCATGCGTATTTATATATGATAAAAGGTGTGTAACTACAATGCATTCATTCTATTCTAGAAGCTCAACTCATTCGGAAAGTCAGGCTTTTTGTCTAACCGTGTTATCATCCTCCCGGATTCTCTAGCCTACCCAATATCACTGTTCAATCACTAAAGTGAATATTTTGTTTATATCTTCCACCATACTATCCATCTCAGCAGTAATTTCATTATGCCGAACTGGAATTTCTTCAAGTTCTCTATCAATTTTATGACGTGATCTAAGATCGTCATTCGCCGTTGCTCGAGTCTTGGCTATCTCCAATCTGGGAAGTCTGAGCCTCAGGCGTCCAACAACCTTCCGATCTTTGTTGTTCTGAACATGTAATTTCTCTATCATGCCATCAAGGTCACTTTTCGCCTGTCGGAACTTTGCTGAATCATTCCGCTTCTATGGGCGGAGAAGCTCGAAATTCCTGACCAGTTTGTCGACCTCCTCCAGTGACATTTCAGGACAATTCGTTTTGCTGTTCATTGCAACACAATTTCATAAGAACTTACTCGCAAAGATGTTTCTGTCAGAATCAGACATAATGAAGATGCCACTGGTTCTTGTGTAAAGATTTCACAATGTTGACCTGTTGAACTATGGCACTAACAGGTGTAGATCTGTAATTTGATGGCGGGTCAAGGCTGAATAAGTAAGATTTGGATTACAATTTTGGAGGTATCAAATTGACATAGATTAGTGTAGATGAAAAATAGGGGATGTCTACACAATTCGTAGCTTGATCTGACAGGAGTCTTTTGAAGTTTTCAAATGTGTTCTTTGGTGGTTAATGTGCGGTTGTGTCTAAGGATTGAATGCAAGTGGACTGGAAGATCGAAACTATTCAACGCATCATTAGAGCGTTATTGTATGGCGGAATTAAGAATCATTCTGTGATCATTGCATCTTTAATCATATCATGTACTGCGTCAGAATTATACATTGGAATTACTTCCCCTCGGATCATGCGTCGAACCACATTCAGAGCACATTTTGAGTCAGCGCACGATAGATTTTCATGAAATTCCTTTTAATTTTACCAGTTTAGTCACTGGAAAACGGATATTATCACCACTATGACAGACCTACAATACCCATGATTCTAAGACAATGACTAACTTATCCATGTGAAGTCAGCGATCTATGAGCTGCTAGTCTGGGTCTTTGAATTTAGATATTTGTGTCGCAATCACAGCACATATGGGACAGCGAAAGTGTTACTGAATGCGTTCTATTGTGGAAGCTCGGCTAGTGTGTGAACATAGGTGAATGACTTCAATTCAATGGCAACCATACTAAACCCAAAAGAGACTAGCTCTTTTAGTAGCCCTTATTTAAGATCTACTATCTTCTGTAGAATAGCTAGTTCTTTAGATAGAATACAATTAGACATTTTGGGACCTACTATACGTGGGTACTGCGTCTTCGTATCCTTCTCATACAAACAGCTAGTTACTTGAAAGATCAGGCTTTCTGCTGTGCAGTAAAACCCTCCCCCTTTTGCTCTTTAGCATTCGAATCTCCATACTTCACCAATAAGTCAAGAATGTGAAGCATTGAGATGGATCTGAGGTGGAGTTTATGTGGGAGAGAAGTTAGGATCGATATGAATCTCAATCGCCAGCAACGCCTCTGTAGCACTCATTTATGACTGGATTAATCCTGAATGTAAACATACCGTGGCCTGGTTCTAAGCGCTCGATCAACATATCCAGATATTCCCTATCTGTGATCAGGCTCCACACTTTGATCATTCCCAGACCTTCAAATTCCTCGGATTTCTTTTGCAGAGCACCCTCCAGAAAATTCTTAATATATTGATGATCTCTTCCGTTCAGAGGGACTCCAATTTGCCCCGACTTTATTTCCCAATCCTTCTTAGATCCCAATCTAATCTCTTCCTCAAGATTTTCTTTCTCGTGGTTCAATAATTTTTCGTGACTAAAGATTTCTTGCCTTAACTCCTTGACTTTATTTTGGCAACTGGCACGATTTTGATGATATGAGCTGTTCGGGACATCTTTAAGATTTCTTATCAATTGCAACAAGTCCATAATACGACCTGATGAGAAGTCAGCAGTGCTTCATTGAATAGAGAGTGTATCATGCTTTACTAGTATATTTGGTATGTGTGTATCCAACCTGGGATCCGACTTCTGACATGAGGGCTTCGAAGCTCAAATCGACAGATGGAATATCAGACATATCTATACTTGTTGAGAAAATGTATACTCTAAGTGTACTTGAGAGATATATGTCAAACTTTGAGACTGAACAAACGAGATTCTGTGAAGTAAGAACGAGATACCGATGAACCGCAAATGTTGACTGGAGATGGTTAAATCTTCTCGTGCTTTTGTTTCTACTAAGGGTCGATGAGAATTTCGGCGTGTTGTCAAATCATATAATATGCAGAGGCACAAATCAACAGTCAGTTTGATCGAAGTTGGACTAGAATGCATGCTATTGTAGAAACTAAATTAGTGTAGAAATTCAGGTTATTTTTTTAACAGTAAGATCCTCCACCCAGGCACCTTCACCAGTCTCATTGCGCCCTCAGCTAACCATAATAGACGCATGGAGCGAAGAAAATCTATTAATCTTCGTCATACTGTGAAGTGAATATCAAGTGACTGTCCTTCTCATCGTATTGGTAATGGGGATAACTGTTGAGTACTCTCTCGCAAGACTGCACATAATCTTCATACTTTTGAATCTTCTTTGGAAGTACTCTCTGGCATGAATAAAGAATACAACACGCAGTCTTATGCGACAATTTGGCATCTTCATATCCTTAACTACCCAGCGAATGCTGGGTCAATATACTCATCTTGACAGATTTCACCACCTTCTGTTTTTTCTCCTTTTCACTGATGTCGGCTCGCGCTGCATGGATGTTCGTTTTCAGTTCAGAAATGACATTATCTTTTAGATGTTTGATAATTATAGCTCGGTCTGAACTTGGCTTTTGTTTAAGTTTGCGGACGATTTTATCAAGCTTGCAGAGTTTTCTGTACACGAAGTTGAATTTTTCAACTCCCTCCGCTAGTGTTAGGTCAGTGTGGTTATGTTCCTATTCTAGGATAGTTGAAGAATACTGACGGAGGTTGTCGGGAGTTAGAATATTACAGGCTTTGAGCATGATGATGATGATCGGAACGAGGATGGATATTGAGTCGTCGGTCTTGTGATTAATTCAAAGTGGCACAGATGCTAGTGTATGATAATGAAGTGGCAGCTTGAAGGAGTTTGGTACTTATCAAGAGTCTTTGGAAGTTTTAATATTCTTGAATGCATTTCGAAATGAAGATACCGTCGATTTCAGGTCAATGTTGAAATCATAGATTAAGAAAGCTTGTCATTAAATCAAATTACACACATGTCACAAATTGACAGAAAATTCAATAAAGGCTGGACTAGGATTCATTTTATTGTGAAAACTCGGCTAGTCTGTAAAATCAGGCATTCTGCGGTACAGATAGATCCTCCACTCAGGCTCTCTAAGAGTATAATTCGGTAACTAATGTCAAACTGTCTCTTCAACTGTAAATTCTTCCGCTCATCCCCTTGATACATCTAGACCCATCTATATAAAAAGGCTGTCACACTCTTCAAATTTCCATCAATAGCAGCACTATGCTTGTCCTGTGCCTTGAAGTTCTGCGCACCATCCTACTACAGTATCTATACTCGTAGCTAAACTTTGCTGCTGACGACTCAAAACGTTAATTTCCGCGCAAATCTCTTCAGCCAGGTTGTCACGTATGACTTGCATTCGACCTCCGCCGGCTGAAAGAGTACTGAGTTCCTCTTGCAATTCACGGATTCTATTCCCATATGTCGCATATTGAGGGCGGAGACTTTCCAATAGTGCTTGCAGTCTTCTCTGCAAATTATTCTGGATTGTTCCGCGATTAGGGCGATTCGACGGCGTAATTCTGAAATATTCCATTTCTTCTCGCATGGAACCAACTTCTCCTAAGAAAACGGTCAGTATACTTCAATCTTAAGCCGGTATAATGGGAGACTACTAGAAAAATTGTGTTCTGGACGATGATATGTGGACATGATGATGGTTTGTAACAATGATAAGGGCTCTGAAAAGTCGACGAATTGTTATGGCTTCGCTAATATATAAGTCTGAGATTACTTGTATGGAGCTCGTTAGACAAGAATGCAGGTGATGAATGTTGAATTACGTTAGAGATGGTATATATATTTGATTTATTGATGAGGATCTATGGTTGTGGTGCCTTGCTTTTGATTTTTGCTTTCAGTCTCGAAACTCGACTTTGCTTGGTTTCTAAACTTCCACTTCGAGAGGAGATCCCCCTCTATTTGAGTACACTAAAGAAACTCCAAGATACCTCGGAATGATTATCCCATTGATTCTCAAATCCTTTTACCAGTGACTTGTCCTCGAATAATACCCCAAACAGACTCATAACTCGACATTCGACTCATCATCCAGACGCATTTCGCAAGAAAGTCTTAACACTCACCATTTCAGTCACAATTCCTTCGGAAAGAGGTCTTCTCGTCGAGGTGATTCTGGAGTCACAATCCAATTTTCGAGTGATAATCAATTAAAAAAACACTCTACATTAGAAATCCAGTCACATTTACCCCTATCATAGCTCGCAAAATAGTATAAACAAATCCCCCAGTGTATCTTTACTCAAATAACACATCATACCGAGATGAAATTCGAGAGTTCGAATCATAATATCAGATATTTCCTCGAACAACGCTTTACACAAAATTACTTCCGAGTCATTCCCCAAGTCAAATATACTTATCTTCAGACTTGATATCCAATCGTACTCATAGTCAACTTTGACTCAAACTTTGATTGATCATTATTGAGGTACCTCATATCATTCTTCGCAATACTCCCGCTCTCATTCACACGCCGACACAAAAATCCACCCACCGACGCATAGTGAAAGTTATTTCGCCTTCTCCCCTCTCCAGCTTTCCTATATGCTCCACCTCCTCGAAATATCTTCCTTCCATTAAATGTCCCCAAGATTTGTAGCGCCGACAAAATCTCTACAGTGCACCAAACCTCCACTCCTGGGAACGCGCAAAACTCAAAACATCAAGAGCTCAACCCATCCAATATTCAAATCATCCCTTCTCCCCCCTTCTCGAACAAAGGGGATGTATCACATCCAAGCGAACCCATCAACACCACTTCTTAGCGAATCACCATCTATGTACCCATATACCAATCATTTCCACATACATCATTACGCGAGCAAACAAACCACACACTGCACTGAATCAAAAAGCAGATTCAAAACCAAATGCTAAAATAAAATAAAAAACTCCTTTGTAATTCAATTCATGATATATAAATGCCCTCCCCTAAAATTCTTCAACCCAATAATAATATCCATGACGATATCCATGCCATATAATTATTCTTCATTTCAACGAATCCATACTGAAATAGAAGGAAAACCCTAGGAAGAAAAACCCCTAAAATAAAATAAACCGTAAATGATAGGAGTAGAATACAAGAAAATACAGTAGTCAAGTATAAACCCGATCATAACAGTCATAACCTTCGTAGCTCTATTAAGCTTTTGTTCGTTTCTTTCATCATGAATCCTTTTCATGTCTCATCGTGTGGGTATTGGGTATGGCATTCCGATCCGTCCACATAAATAAAAAACAAAGCCTTCCTGCCAAAACCAACGAGATTCTTTTTCCCAAATGTACGCCTGATGTTGTGTCGTCCAAAAATTCCAAAAAAAAATAACAACGGAAGCATTATGCAAATAGTGTAATAAAAAACAATCCCCAACCATCATCTCATAGTACAAACCAAGATCCGACCTATCCACCTCATCAAAATTTCTATCTTTACCATCCGATAATGGACTATCCCAAAGAATATAAAAAGCATGCCTTCATGCCTAATCCCTTCCTGGTATACCTGATCATAATTCATTTACTACGTCTCGAATACTCCATCTCCAGGAGTTTCCTTCAGTGTTGCGTGCGGCGCCGATCCATTTCTCACACTTTCTCCTCCAGCGCTCTTCCTCCTCTCTCTGTCGCCTAACGAATTCTGGACCGACATCAAATTCTTCACCGACAAGCCAATCACTAAGACCACTGGCACCTTCGCCTTTCATACCATTAACTTCATCAGACTCCTTAGAGGGCCCCTCCTCAAGATCAGGAACATCCTTGAAGACATCGTCCTCATCTTCGAGCGCATCAAATCCATCCATGGTATCACCAGATTCGCTTTTTGCTCTTTTGTTGTCCCCTGGCATTTTAAGCCAACACATACGTTGCGGGTCAAAGACCATTCCGCCAACGACTTGGACATTCTGGGCAGAGTTTATATTGGTGATGAGCGCAGGACGAGGTGTCGAGCATTCTTTTTCCCGGTAGATTTGTGGTGCTGTCGCTCTTGGTGTCTGTACAGGTATTGAAACTGTCGGGGTTGCTGAAGCTGGCATATCAAAAGCCGATACTTCAATTTCGTTGCCTTCCCATCGGTAATTAATAGGATCGTATTGCATTCCTTTTACAGCTACAAAGAAAGATTAGAGGTAGGTTAAAAAGTGATACGGAGGGGATACGTACATCTGGGATTGTTTACATTTCCCATGGGCTTAATAAGTTGTGGCTTTTGGGGCACCTTATTCTTTTTTGATCGAACTGAACCTTGTGCATGAACCGGACTGAGTCCAGTTGTTGCTGAAACCTTCGCCCTCCATTGATTTGTAAGGGCAGCAAGAGGAGCTCCAGACCCAGAGACAGTGCGATGAGATGATGTTGCTTCCCGAGCCATGCGGCTGGCGGCAGTATCGCGCGCAAAGCGCGGTAACTCACTCCTGCTCTTCGCTGGTGTCAATGGTGTTAGAGGTACAGGTGATGAGTTTCGGATGGGCATAATGTGTTGATGAGCTCTGTTGCGAAGTGAAAGTTGTCTAGGCGGACCACGGCCAATTGGCTCTTTGACGAACTTTTGCTCTGCATCTCGTGAGGTAGGTAGATCATCAAAAGCATCAAGTTCACAGCCATCACCAAAATGTCTTCGTCGAACAGGTTTTGTGATTTGTCGCTTCATAGTGGCTTCACGAGCAAGCATATCGGCGCCCCGAAGAGATCTCCGCGGACTGGGTGATCGAAATGTTTGCCTTGAAAGCGTTCTCGATGGTGGACGAAAATCGGCGCTATTGGTTGAGGACTCAGAGTCGTTACGACGAAAATGCCGGGATGTTTTTGCAGTGACATGATGTGATTGAGAACTTGAAGCACCACCAGCAGGCAAGAACGGAACATGATTTTTTCTAACAAAGGACATGCTAGACTCAGCTCCGGATCGATCTTTTTCGACAGGTTCCTTGGACCGAGACATTGAGAGTGGCCTATTATTGGTTTCCGTTCGAGACTGAGGTCTCTCATATCGTGTAGGCATTGGCTTAGCTGGCGAAGGCTGATAAGTCTTCATGGTTGGCATTGACCGCTTGAGCTTTAGTAGTTGGGAACTGGTCGTTGTAGGCTCATTGCGCAGAGTTGATGTGGATAACTTCGCGCCAAGTTCACGACGCCGAGGAGTTGATGGAGGTATGGGATGATTAGAAGATGGCGCGTTAGACAATCCAATACTATTGATTGAAGAATGGACTGAATGTCCCAACCTAGATTGCGACCTACGATTTCGACTTGGTATTGGCCCACCACTCTCCGAAACTGGTTCGAGGGATGATGGAATACGTTCATGTCCATGTGGCCTAGGGAGTCGGGAGGTGGAAGGAGGCGCAGGTTTGTTTGTGAAAGTTAATGAGACCGATGGCTTGGGTCGAGTTGGGCTTTGTTGTTTAGTAGGGATAACCTTTACGTTACGATTTAATGTGAGCTTCTTCGAATCGAAGACATCCCCATCGCCAATCTCAAGCCCAGTCAAGAAGTCATCCTTTCCACCCAAACTTTTTCTTGGTTGCTTTACCTCTACTGGACGTTCGGGCCAATCATTTAGTTGACGCCTCTTGAGAATATCCTCGAAATTGAGAGGGCCACTCGGTAAGACTAAACCTTCAAGACCTTCATCTTCACTCTCAGCAGTCATGGAACTGGCAATACTGGGGCTCATCGCAAAGGAATCCGAGTTCCGATTGGATCGACCATCTCTTTTTGTTCCACCAAATCGAGTACCTAAACTGCCTTCGCCCCAATCGTCAAAATCGTCCTGGATACTCTGAGGGGTCTTCGGGATATCTTTACGAGTAGTGAGCTTCAAAGCGCCATCTGAAGGGAGTTGTAAATCTTGTTCGAAATCTTCTTCGGTTTCCTTACATTTCTCTGGCGTCGGTGATGTGACGGAGGGTGCCATAGACTGTGGGTTCCGTTTCTTTGTAACTTTTATGGTTGCTTCGCCATCTCCAAAGAAGTCATCGTCCTCCTCATCTCTGTAACGATCAAGCATGTTCGATGATGCCGCCTTCGTTTTCAATTCAGGTCTTGGGCTAACATGGAATATCGGAGCAGCCATCAATGTCTTCTGCGGACTTAAAGATCCAGAACCGCTCACTTGACGTAGTGTTTCTGGGAATTGAGACCCATCTTGTTGTTTGATCTTTAGGGCTTCTCCGATTGGTACTTCGATATCCCCATCATCCCAATCATCTGAAATCACCTTCCTTAATTTTCTCCCACCAAGTCTCTTTATACTTCCTCCTAGCAAAGCCGAGGAAGGTACGTTTTCCGGTAAAGGTATACCGGCTCTTTTAGCTGTAGCGATCGCATCGTTCATGGCTCGTTCATCGTCTTCTGGTAAATGTACTTGTCGTTCCTCGTTGTAGTCCGATCTTATCGATAAACGTGAAGAAACCGATTCTCTGCGTGTCGACGCAATAGTTGCAGTTGTTGCTACTGAAGCACTTCGAAATGTAAAATCATCGCCCCCAATGTCAAGGTCATCATCATCCCAGTTTTCCACATCGTCTTCCACGGGTGCCCGCGGCTTCAATACCAATTGATTCATTTTGAGCCCCGATTGTGTGTCGCAAAAGATCGAGAGTCTGATAAAATATTGCGACCGTGTACTACTTCTCAATTATGAGCTTTAAGATGAGTTGAAGTTTTTCAATCAGCTTAATCGCGGGTATGTAACTATCGTGAATTCATGTCGTAAAAAACTTGCAGATCGGAATATTTTTTTGTTGACGTTGTCGTGAAGGAGGAACTGCAAGTGTAATTTGCTTTGTTTTGTTTCGTGTTGATTGAATAGCGAATGAATGTATGAGTGAATCAGTGCATTCGTGGTCGCAATGGTGATTCCCTGGTTTCGAATTTGTGGTGCTCGGTGTGCTCGGTGCTTGGAATCTGTTATTTTGAGTTCGCTGGCTTCAATTGAAATGAGTATCAGTATCGTGTGGTCTTGATGTTGATGTTTTCTTCCACCTTTGCTGGTATCCAAACCTCCAGCGCCCTTTTGAGGGCAGGTAGCAAAGAATTGTTGTTGGAAATTCGAAAGGTAATGAGTCTCTTGACACTCCTGGCGGGTGGGTATTGAATGTTGAAGTGGGTTGAAAATTTAGTTCTCCGCTGTATTCAGTGTTCACGGGGGATTGAGTGGATGAGTCGAATGATTGAAGCTCTGTGGCTGGCTAATTTGAGGAAAGAATCATGGGAATTGACCAGCCACGAGGATTTGATGCGAATAAGAAGGGATGATTGGGTGTGTTAAACGAAAAAAATGAATATTAATCGCGACGCGTATGTTTCTCTTGCCTCTATTGGTGCTATTTGCTTTATTTGATTGATTTATTGAAATTAAATTGATTCTTTTATTTTTGTTGGATTTATTATTGGATCTATAGTATGGCTGGTATGGCTGGTATGGCTGGTATGGCTGGTATGGATGATATGGTATGGTATGGTATGGGTGAAATGGTATAGTATGGACCGTATGGTATCGTACTTCATCAGAGTGCACCCGTCCGTACCCGTACTATAGCTATGGATCATACCATGTAAATATAACCAACAAGAACTACTGACTCTTTTTTTCCTCAGTCCTCGTGCTGAGCTGAATTAAAGTGAAGTCTGATATCTGTCATTAGGCAGAATGGGAGTGAAGTGAGCAATGGGAAATAAGGTCCTCATCGTTGCCTGATCTACCAGCAGATCTACCATTGATATCTAGGTATCGTAGCAAGTAGTAAATAAATTGATTATATCATCATTACAGTGGTTTGTATTTAATTCCTCTCTTGGAACATCTAATACAGATTCATATCATCCTTTCCCTTATTAATCCTTTGATTCGGGTTTCTTGTTTCATCATTAATCTCATCACCCTCATCACCAACCAACCTTATTAAACCGAATTCGATCAGCACCAGGAATACAGCCGTAACCACCCATACTATGGCGGCGAAGCAACTTCCAGCGGTTCTTCGCATTGCATCGAGCGCTACGAATCAAGATGAAGTTTTTCTTCTTCACGTCGAATCTGCTGGGTCACGACCTTTAGATCTTAAGTTAGTTGGGACGGATGGCGAACTCGTATTTGTGGTCTCAGGTAAGCTCCGACCTTTGTTTGGATCGTCCCGCGCTGGAGGTCCCTGATTTTCAACCCTGATTTTCACATTCATGCGTTAATTGCGGGACCTCAAATTAACATTCATTTTCATTCTAGTAAAGCACAGCAAATTATCTTCACTCAAGTCAAAGAATTCTCCATGTAGCGACGAAGAATGGATTCTGATTTTGTCATCCATTCTGCTTCATGAGCCGCCGAAGAAAGGGAATGAGAATGTGACCAGAGGAGTTGAGATTCATGCTAAAGTGGAGAAGAAAGCCGTGACCCTCGTGATCCAAAAAGTTATTGAAGGGATCAAAGTACGTATCCTCCCAGTCATTACGTTGGCAATCTTATCATATTACATACTAATTATACATCAGCAACGTCTCGGCGCAATCAAACTGGATGAAACCGAAGAAGAAGAAATTGGCCTTTTTGAATGGAGCGCTCTAGCAACAAAATCGGCGGATTCGGCAAATGATGAGTTGGAAGCATTACATACTAAGTACAGGGAGCAGCAGAAAATGTTGGATGGACTCAATGAAACTTTCAGGGAAGTAAACAAAACAAAATCCGACTATGAGGTTCAGCTGTTGGAGAAGTTTAGCCTCTTGCAGAATGAGAAGAAGCTCAAAATAAGGGACCAACAAACCTTATTAGCAAGCGCCAAAGTTGATCCAGAAAAAGTCGATACAGTGCGAGCTACAAGATCTGGGAAGCTCAGAACCGTCGGCGCATCGAGAACTGGGAAGCGTAAAGCCGGGAAGGAAGCGCAGACTGAAAGCTCAGATTCAGATGATGCTTTTGAAAAAATGGATATTGACAAAAAGCAACAGGAGGATGATACCGCCGATGAATCCGACCAACAAGAAATACAAACTCCCGATCGCTCGGATGAAGAGACTGAAGATGAGGCAGACGCTCCACAGTCAAAAGCTCAGCGTCGCAAGGGAAAGAATACCGTTCAAGATGATCCGGGTGAGGAAACGCAAATAGCGCCTAAATCAACAGAGGCAACAAAAATCGCCGAGCTACCAGCTAAAAGGGAACTACCATTTGCCAAAAAGCCAGTTCCGGTACCTGCAGATGATGGATCTGAGACCGAATCGGGCTCGGACGATGAACTATAATAGACATTCTCATTCCAATAAGAATTATCCTTCAATGAATAATGGGTCAAACCAATGAATGTCCCAAACTGTCTCATCGACATTACACAATATATAAACGTGATTGGACCTCGCAAATAATATGACTCTTCCCAAGCGCAAACGATATGCAAATCATAATCACGATTCCAATTCTCAATTCCCATTCTCTCACTTCATCCACTTGCACCAACTCGGCAATCCCAAAGCTAAAGCTCCACAGTGACTCGTGCGTATCCCTGACAACCACCATCTCAGTGGGATTTACAGAGTTGACGATATAACGGTGGGGGAAATTGTGCATGCCGCATGCACAGGTGGGGTGAGATATGTATGCACTCTATGCACCACGAGAGTGTGGATATCACACCGACATTTCTACATGCTGCGAAGAGGGGCGTTACCGGGTGATGGTTATGTCCCATCGTGTGGCGGGGATATATAAGGGACCTGGAACTCTTCTGAGGAATGGGTATTGTGTGAACAATGATTGAAAGAAAGGCTGGCGAGAGTTGGTGGTGGTCAGTATATGGTGTGTGCGGAGATGTGGCTGGAAGTTTTGGGGGCCGCCAAAAAATATGAAGGTGGTAAATAAATAAATTTTCCAGCCTTCTTTTGTTTCCGTGGTAATGCTATCTTGCATCAAATATATCATTTCAATCCAGCCTCCGTCAAGTGATGGGGTTTCTTCATGGTCATGGAATCTTGACCGCACTATCAATCACACGAAGACAATTTAAATTTTCACATCTGATTACTATTAATATCTCATCGAATGTGATAATTTGTGTGTGCTGACTAGCTTGATTTCGATTTTTGGGGGATACACTCTCTCAGATTCTATCTTCCAGTATATCTTCCAGTATATCTACTCATCGCATGATATACCTTGGAATTTTTCATTGGTACAATCCGGGGTACCAAATCTTCGCAGTGAGCATCCAAATCGCTCATTCATTAAGATGGTCCGTTTGATATACTCTTCCATGTTAGGACATGCTCGAGAATAGTATTACACTGCCGAGACCTCCACCACTATGACTGCTGCTACATACTCTACCTTACACTTTCACCCCATCAGTAACAGATTACATACGTACTCTTTGTCTACGCTCGTGAAATCAAAACCCAACAAGAGACTAAGTCAAATGTCTTAAGACAAAAAAGACTCTCCCCTTCGGCCTGCAAAGAAACATGCAAAGAGCATATGTACATTAGCTATATAACAGTTAAACTTGTTCTTTCATCCACATACGACCATAGACTGAGGAGAATTGGGCATCCCGTCCGCTCTGCCATACACAAGCCTCAGATCGGTGGATTAGTAGTTGGGTGGGTGACCACCAGCGAATCCCTACTGTTGTATGTTTTTTTCCTTTTTGGCGCTTTGCTATTGTTTTTGATTGTCTTTGTGTAGGGATGTATGGATGAATGAAGATTTTCATTTTGATGAGTTAAGAGGAGGGGGAGGAGGTGTAATATAATTGTAAAGTGCTTCCTGTAGAGTGCTTCCTGTAGAAGAAGAGAAAATGAGGGGGGGTTAGGGGAGGTTGGAGATTATATAGGTACTATGTATAGGTAGTATTGGGGAATGGGAATTATCCGCTAATACAACTGGAAACCGAGTATATATTTGGTATCGTTCATCAAGTGTCTTCGTATCTGACTCTGAGTTGTAGTATAGCTAGTTAGTGCACTTTTGTAGAACCATGGGGATACGTGGTATATCCAAACAGAAGGGACACTAGAATATAATTTCGATTTTCTCACAGAGATGTGATGTCAGGTATTTGAGTCAGGGGACCAGAAAATAGAAGATGTCTATAATATGCGTATACCTATCATTCTTCCAATCGCAGACATTCCACGGCTATCTACTCGCAGGACTCTGAATTCAGTGGAATATTGAGATGATTTCAACAAGTTGAAAAAGTGTTTATAACGAGAGAAACGAAACTGTCTGAGATAACCAGCCTATCGTGAGCCTTTCGTGAGCCAATTTGATACAGTTCCTTTCTACTTTCCACTGGGAATAAGTTGAAGCCGGAAGCAATCAAATGCATACATGCATTATGACTCCAGGAAGATTTTGTCATGGAGGATTATAAAGAAAGTTGACTACAATAGGTTTCTCACAGTGCCGATGTGTCACTTCGGCGCGAGTGATTATTTCCAAGCCTGGAGAGAAAATCAATTTGAAAGCAGAGATTCAGGATTTCGAGCTAAAAAGTCCTCTTACTATCAGGATTGGATCTGTGAGGATTGTGAAATTGACTGTGTGCGAAGTTCTGCGATAGGAAGTGCTTGGTTATCCTCATCCCGAAAGCCATGGGAAATTCCATGAAGTATTGTGTAGATAGACTTAGGAAGGATACAAATTTGTTGAAGTTATGAATATTGCAATCGTGGATGGGTTAGAAACATTGCGTTGGGCATATTTTAAAGCGGGTGAAGAGCCTAGGGAAGATAGTTTCAATCCAATTTTGTTGGATATATACTATTGTAAAAATAGGGTGGAAGAGGCGGAAGAAGATACTGTGCTAAAATATCAGAATCCATGCCCTGAAATCTCATTCGCGGTGATCAGTTCTTTATTTCATTTCAAGTTTTCATGGTTAACAATTCATGGTTAACAATTCACAGATCTTCCCAAAAGAGCAGTCTTGGCTATGATATGTAGATTCCTCGTGATTCCAAAGTGCTCTCTGGAGCTGCTTGTACGTAGCCAAGAGAAGAGGAATAAGTTTTCGAGAGAATAGCTTGCTCATAACGAGGGTTCTATTGATCGATATGATAGGAAGTTGAGTTTCTAATAACGATGTGTATCTATTATATGTCTTGGCTGGTGGGTAAATCCAAATAGCTGACATTTCAGCATATATAGGGTGCAGGGACGACTAAAAGAGAACAGATGAGCCATTAAATGATTGTTGTTAGAGGGAAGTATTATTCCCAGGGCAACATTAATGTGCAAAGGTTGATAGGGGATCAAGAAAAAACTCAATCTTGGGTGAGGAAGAGCAAGTGAGGAAAGAGGTTGAGCAGTCTTTGCATGATATGGAAGGTAAAAAATTTATATTTTTCGATGCGGTTAAATGTTTGCTCTGAGCCAGTAGCCCATTTTGAAAGTATAATTGATATCCCTGAGACCAAGATATAGATTTGAATGCAAAACGCAGCGCTTCATAAACCTCCTCGAAGTCAAACTTGTGATTGATAGTCTTGCTGTCATTTTACAGCCCGCGAAATCATTGTAACGAGCTGAATGCGCAGTTTTGAAAGTATAGTTCTTTCTAGAACTGTCCACAACTACATGCTTGTAATATTCTATAATGGTAGTCTGAAATAGACTCCTTTTTTGACTAGTTTTCAATGGTAGACGGTCGAGCCCTAACTACGCCCGTTATATACATGTATCCAAGTCAACCCATAAAGATTCGCTCACCGAATCGCTTTTCAAACTCTCCATGATATTGAAAAGCGAGGTGACTATGTCTTCATTGATAGGTTGGACTATCATTCTTCTCGAGTAATTTGCATTTTCTGTTGTGAAATCTCTTGCGTGACAACATCAAAGGCCAGCACGAGAAGACTCTATCGATTTCCATTTCCAAAAGGCATTGACATAGTCGATATCAAATTTGAATTTCTCCAGACGACATGATTCAGGGCCATGCGACAAACCTTCATACTACGAAAAATTCATTTCAATAGTCTGGAAGTAGGAAATAATCGAAACATTCTCTGCTAGCCTGCCCAGCCATTACCACGGATTGAACGAGGCCAATCAGAGATTCTTAACTTTAGTCTTCCAAATGAAAATGCCCAGATCACTCGACGATTGTTCTTTCGGCGCCAAAACGCTCTCGCGACTGTAAGCAGTCGACATAACAAATCCGAACGAAGAATCAGACTTCTCAGCACCGCTTCCAAAACTATCTGTCATCTTGCAAAGCACGGTTTGCCAATTTCTGCGCTTCTGTATTATCCTCTCTCGGAACACTCCAAAATCGAACCAAAACTTTGTCCTCCGCAAGATCCAAAATAGCATTATCAATCCTGTCTATCAACTCACCATTAACCACTTGTTCACCTTTGGAACCCTCAAAACCATTCTTCCGCCATGACCAAACAGACGTGGTGAAAGTGTCGTAAATATATTTCGAGTCCGTCATGATAATAGTTGTGAATGATCCTTCACGCTCGCCATTGGACCGCCAGTTTTCAAGGACTGAGCTGTTCTTTATGAGATCCAGGGCACGATCAACAGCCACCAGCTGCGCGCAGTCTTTGGTCTGCTGTTCCCCATTAGATACCTCTATCGTGTCGTGCGTATTGAAACTTGAATCCTCCCCGAAGAATATTCCATAAGATGATTTGCTTTCCGATTCACCCCCGTCTTGAGGACACGCTCCGTCAACGGCAACCACTAAACTCTTTTTGTCCCCGGCCATCTCATTGGCATCATGAACATGAGAAATTCCAGTAGATGTATCATGATAGATAAATCTCTTAGTGTTTCTACTAGCCGGTGAAAAGTATTGATGGAGATCAAATTTGCGCGAGAATATCTGCTGATCCTCCGAAGATCTTTCTTTATCCCGCCTAGCCTCGCGTAATAGGTACTTTTCCAACATCGTGAATCTGGCATGAGAGGATTAACCACTTTTCCGGAGGTGGTATTGATGGAAGATAGTGGGTGGATGTTAGTGATCTCTCATGTTGTGATAGAATTGAGGAAATTTGCTGCTATCGTGAATGACTAAGCAAACAAACCTGAGTCCACATCCACACAAAGACAGGAAATCCGACACACTCTCTTAACAACACTACAAATTCAACATACAATAGCAATCCAACAGAGATCCAGGACTCCCCAAGAAACCCAAGATATCACAAGCTACAGGCCCGCCAATCCTCGAAAACACATCGCATCTTAACACCTGAACGGTCTCGATTAATAAAAAATCCCGAAGGTATAAGGTTAATTGTCGGCTCTTCAAGGGGGGGAAAGGAAGTGTCCCCTGCCTGCAAAATCGATCGGATTTAAAGTCAATTTCATAATACTAACACCATTATATTGCTAGATTGAGTGTTACTGAATAGAAATAGATGCCTTGATCTAGAGTGATTGCAATACGTTTCTCGCCAAGACTAAGGTATAAGGTATAGGGATACTTGTTTTCCCCGATAGAAACTAGTCAGCCGATTGAAGAGCCGACTATTAGAGAACTTTCTTTCATGTGCTGGTATTTCTGTCTTTGCTGTGTCTACGTTTTAGCCTAACAGTTTATGATCACCCATTGCAAAAGTGTTCAACCAAGTCTGGTACTTTCATTACTGTGCTCTGGCCATTTTACCTAGGCCCTCCTAGCATGTGTCACATATACTACTTGCTCGATGCGGGCTGTAACCCAATTGAGTGAGGTCGTAAATAGTATTTTTCACGACCCAGTATGCTAAGGCGTGAGGGTGCCAGCAAAAGCACCCGAAAAAATTGAATCTCGCAAACAAGTTTACCGGTCAAATGTGATTGCCAAATCTTCCTCAAAATTTCCATCGATGAATCTATCTATGACCTATCATCCGGCGCAAACTTATGATTCCAAAAGCCTCTATAATGTTTCTCGCTACCGATCTTAGCAATCTCCTCGACCTCCTTCGGTGTCATTTTAAACTGTTTAATCTTCTGATATCCCTTCAATCGGTCCTCATTTCCACTAGTAGTCAATGCCACGATTCCCTGATCGATAACCCATCTCAATGCAATTTCACCGGGTGTGACTCCATACTTCTTAGCCAGAGCAGAATAGGTATCGTCCAAAGGTCCGGGAGAAGCTTTGACGGCAGCGGTTAAGGGAGAGTAGGCTGCTATTGCTATATCCTTTTCGCGAAGGAAAGGAATCAGAGATCCATGTTGAAGATAAGGGTGATATTCGATCTGATTGATGGAAGGAATAATCTTCGCCGTCTCCAAAATAGTTTCTATATCCTTTTGTAGAAAGTTAGACACTCCAATGGATTTCGCTTTCCCGGATGCATGAATTGCTTCCATTTCTGCCCATTTCTTCTGTAAATCTTGAGGGGTTTTGGCGAAGTATGGAGCGTGAATCAAGTAGAGATCGACATAATCGAGTTGGAGCTTCTTCAAAGATTCTTCAAATGTAGCTTGCGTGTCAACTACTTGAGTACCGGTGATTTTGGTGGTTATGAAGAATTTCTCTCGAGGAACACCGGATTCTTTGATTGCCATACCCATCTCGGTTTCGTTCCCATACAATGAAAGTAAGTGTTAAAAATGACGATGATTTGAATGCATTAGGTGACGAGAAATACCTTGAGCTCCATCTAAATGATAATAGCCAGCATTGATCGCCATAACAGCCGTTTTCACAATCTTACTATCGACCTGGCCATCCGAATTGGATTTGTAATGAGCAGTTCCGAGACCGTACCCAAGCATTGGAATTTCAGTCCCATCATTTAACTTGAGATTTTGCAATTGGCTCATTTGCTTTGGAGAATCACCTGAATTGCCTCCGGCTCCAAAAGAACTTTGATATGCTGAGGTTTCAGAATTCATCATGTGACGAGCAGTAATTGCAGAGAAAAAGAGATTATAAGAACGTTTTATGAGAGGACGAGTGGAAAATCTGAAAGCAGAATTGATCAATGTATTCATAGGAAAGGACAATGAAGAAAGAGGTAAAATGTAGCTGCTATAGAGATGTTTATCAATACTTGAGGGACGGGGAAGGAGGGAGGTAGACTCCTTCCCGTTCCATGACGATTTTAAAGTTCATGAACTCCACCAACCCCACCCTGCCACCCACCATACCACCCACCATACCACCCACCATACCACCAACCATACCACCAACCATACAGAACTAGGGCACGTGCAGGGGTAGCTCTTAGAAATACTTGGTCCACAGGAATTCTTAACACCCCAATCAAAGCCTGAGCACGACATTTGCCTCTCTTGCCCCTCATTCTTAGACACAAACCAAAAGTACCTAGGCATTTACCTAATACACTGATGGTTTTCTCAAGTTTAATATAATACTTAGTATCATCGAAATAGTTGATGCTCTTGCATTTCTTCTCAAGACCTCCGGTACCCCGCATGCGTGTAGCTCAGATGGCATCTCATATTTCTCAAAGCAGTACCTCGAAGGCCTCTTCCTTTGCCGGAAGATCCCTCGCAGACCTTCCTAAATCATGGACATTTACTTCATCACTGCCTCCCGATCCTCAATTTCCAACACCTGCTGCATCACACAAAACTGCCCGCGATGAAATTGGACCTCGGCAGGTAAAGGGCGCATTATTTACTTGGGTTCGACCCGAACATTCGATAAACCCAGAACTTCTCGCTGTAAGTCCTACTGCGATGAAAGATTTGGGAATTGAAGAGGGAGAAGAATCCACGGAGGAATTCAAACAAACAGTTGCGGGCAATAAAATCTTAGGATGGGATGAAGAAAATTTAGAGGGAGGATATCCATGGGCGCAATGTTACGGTGGGTGGCAATTTGGTTCTTGGGCAGGTCAATTGGGCGATGGGCGAGCAATCTCTTTATTCGAGACGACAAATCCGAGTAGTAATATTCGATACGAATTACAATTGAAGGGCGCAGGAATAACGCCATACTCGAGATTTGCAGATGGGAAAGCCGTGTTGAGATCAAGTATAAGGGAGTTTATTGTCTCTGAGGCTCTGAACGGATTGAAAATCCCTACCACTCGAGCTTTATCTTTAACTCTCTTACCGTTTTCGAAAGTCAGGAGGGAAACACTTGAACCTGGGGCCATTGTGGCAAGATTCGCCCAATCATGGTTACGTATTGGAACATTCGATATACTACGAGCGCGTGGGGACAGAGCTTTAATAAGAGAGCTTTGCACATATATCGCGGAAAATGTATTCGAAGGATGGGAATCATTACCAGGAAGAAACTCTGCAGATGATGGCAAAACAGAAAATATTGAAAGAGGAGTATCGAAGGACACAATCGAAGGTCCGGCTGGTCTTGAAGAAAACCGCTTCACTCGTCTATATCGCGAAATTGTACTACGCAATGCAAAGACAGTTGCAGCGTGGCAAGCATATGCATTTACAAATGGTGTACTTAATACGGACAATACATCCATCTTTGGTTTGTCCATTGACTTTGGACCCTTTGCTTTCCTAGACAACTTCGACCCTAGTTATACTCCCAACCACGATGACCATATGCTACGCTACTCCTACCGCAACCAGCCCACCATAATCTGGTGGAATCTCGTCCGTCTAGGTGAATCTCTCGGTGAACTAATAGGCGCCGGTGCTGGTGTCGATTCCGAAGAGTTTATCGAGAAAGGTGTTCGTCAAGAAGCCGCCGACGAGATAGTCTCCCGCGCAGAAGCTCTCATAACCCGCGTTGGCGAAGAATACAAGGCCACCTTTCTCGTAGAATACAAACGTCTCATGACTTCCCGTCTCGGACTCAAGGTATTCAAAGAAACGGACTTCGAAACCTTATACAGCGAACTACTCGACACAATGGAAAGCCTAGAACTAGACTTCAACCAATTCTTCCGTAAACTCTCCTCCATCCCCATTGCCTCCCTCGAAACCAGTGCCTCGCGGCAAGAAATCTCTACCACCTTTTTCCATCACGAAGGCGTAACAGGTCTTAACAACACCATGGAATCAGCAACTACTCGTCTGGGCGACTGGCTCGAGAAATGGCAAGGAAGAATCTACGAAGATTGGGGACCAGATGGTGATGACGAGAATCGCATGATAGCAATGAAGAAAGTGAATCCAAAATTCATACCCAAGGGATGGGTTTTGGATGAAATTATCAAGAGGGTAGATAAGGGAGGTGAGAGAGAGGTATTGAATAGAGTCATGAAGATGGTGAGTGATCCATTCAAGGAAAGTTGGGATGGGGATAAAGAGGAAGAGGAAAGATGGTGTGGGGATGTGCCAAGGGGGGATAGAGCCATGCAATGTAGTTGTTCTTCGTGAGTGGAGTGGTTAGTTGCTCTAGATCAGGCGAGATGATGGGGGTTATAAATATAGGTATCATGTGTATCATGGGTAATTTTAGAATTGGATATCAGAATATATTACATCACATAATACATATAGATGTCTAAACTGCATTAAACATGAACAAACCTTCTCTTCAGATATATCAATGAAAGTCCAAGTGCAAGGGAGTCAGTCTTGTCCAAAGCATAAGATGTGCATCACAGTATTCGTTTGATAGTTATTTCTCGTATTTCCAAAAGATGTAAACTGCAGTATCTAGTTCCCCACCTTTTTGTTGACCATCAAACTCATATCCCCATTTTCTCACTCGTTCAATCATGCTCGTCTGATTTACATGACTTATCCTCCCCTACTGAAGAAGTTTCAAAAATCCTCATTGAAGATGAATGTCAATCTTCATTCGAGCAAAATCAGCCTTTTCGGCTAGCCTTTATTTCGTCTCATCATTGACACCCAACTCCCATAGTATAGTTTGTGATATCAAAAGAGACTCTTTTGTCTTTGTGAATAAGAAAAACCCTCACTCCCTTCGTTCACCAGTGACCTGCTTCACGCGCCACCGAAGCCAATGAAGGTCCAGTTATGTCTCAATCTCGCTCACGAGACTCTTCGTGGTAATACACGCGAGAAAAAAAAATGCAAAAGAAAACGACTGTAAACACGTTTAAAGGAAAAAGCTCCTCCCCATTGCTGTTTTGATCTGAAATTAAAAAATTCGTCGCAAAGTTTTTGATACACAGCAAAGAAACTTATCCTGATCCAGCAAATTTCAATTCATGATTTGGTATGGTTTATTGTGCCAAGGCCTGGGAATCACCACGACCTCGATATCCCGTACCACGGCCACGTGTAGGCTGTCCGTTACCAGCATAACCACCTCTTCCCCTGTATCCACCACGGCCGCGACCACGACCGCGGTATCCTCCACGATAGCCGCCATTATCAACACTTCCTTGGCCAAAAGTTTCAACGTTCTTCTTTTGTTCTTCACCTCGCCATTGATGTCCACCAGCTCTGTTTCCGGCTGCTTCTGTGCGGTCCTTTGCCTCGCTCGAAATGTTGTCGAAAAATGATGTGGCTTTGTTATATGCCTTGGGTGCGGTTTCCTCAACCTCAGCCTCAGGCGCAGGAGGCTGCTCCCCAAGGGGAGATCCAGCAATAGCCTCCTTGACTAGGTCTTGTTTATTGAATTTTGCATTAGCAGATTCGAAATCGAAGTCGGCTGTGGGGACATCGACTTTAGCTGGACCAGGCGCCCGACCACCACGGCCTCGTCCTCTTGCGGCAAATCCATTAGTGCCTGGTTGTCTGGGAGCGCGAACAGGTTCGGTTGTTCGCATTTCGTTAACCTTTCTGGTTAGATTGTCAACTGCGCTTCCATTGGTTTGTTGACCTCCAACTGGAGGGAGTTTAGCCATTGCAGCAGCAACAGCGGCAGTCGCAGCTTGTGTGGCATCTCTCAAACTTGCAGAAGTGTCATTCTGTTTTGGAACTGCAGAGGTAGTGGTGTTTTGTAATGGAGCTTTGGTTACTGCAGGACTAGCTAATGGAATTGCTGGTTGAACACGACCGCCGCTTCTGGGGCCACTTGGGGTAGCTCGAGCAGCGGGAGGAGCTGTAGGCTGAGATTGTTTCGTAGTTTTTGCATCTACTTCGGTGGGTGAAGTCTTGGAAGGAGGTGGTGTCGCTTGATTGGGAGCTGGTCCAGCATTGTTTCCAGCACCAGGAGCTTGAACATCTGCTAGTTTGTCTGTTGGGTTTGCGGAAGTAGGAGTTTGTTGTTTGTTCGCACCAGGTCCAATTGGCGATGGCTTTTGTTGCTGATTTTGCTGCTGGAAGTGTTGACCTGGTGGTGGGAAACCGTAGCCTGGAGGAGGGGGAAATTGGCCAGGGTGTTGAGGGAATCCATGTCCAGGTGGGGGATACCAGCCAGGCGGGCCACCAAATGGCGACATTCCTGGAAACCCTGGACCAGGAGGAGCTCCTCTACCCCATCCTGCAGGCGGAGGAGGGTAAAATCCAGGAGGTGGATATTGTCCAAAAGGTGCCATGCCTGGAGGTGGTCCTTGTTGTGGGGGAGCATTTTGTCCTTGGGGTGGAGGTCCTCGCGGATTTTGATTTTGAGGAGTAGGGGGTCCTGGCGCGGCTGTAGGAGCTGGACGAGTTCCGCTCTATGATAAGTGATCTTGTTAGCAAGAATGCTGTGAAAATCAAACAAAGAATATATGATTTGGGAGTCTAAATCAGAAGGAAGGCAACGGAAAATCTCCACACGGTTTTGCGCTCTCGGAGACAATATGATTTAACATCCGAAATATTTCATCACTAAAAGGAAGTCGATAGGTACCACCAAGAATAATTTGGTACGCTGGTTATGAAGGATAGTTCACTTACTCCGAGAATCGCAGGATCATTGGGCACCTGTGGGGGGATGCTTTCTCTGGGCGCAGGTGCTTCCTCGATACGCAGATCCTTTACATCACCACCACGGAAGACAATGTACTCGTAAATGTTATCCGAAGCTGCAATCTCCTCGTCGGGGTTTTCCTTTCGTCCTTCTGTTCCGTGAGACTTGACATTTTCCAAGGCCACCGTTGCGTTTTCCGAGTTGATCTCATGAAGTGTACCGACGTATCTTAACTCGCGTTAATACCTGGTCAAATATGACTTAATCAACGTAAATACCTAATATCGCTCTTCGATACCAAGGATATCCTCGATCTATGAACGCGCATTTGTCAGTATGCGATGTAGAGTGTTGAAGAGGATCCTCCAGTTTCAGCCTTGGAACTCACCCTATGAATTCAGACATGATGCCTTGCTAAATTGCGATCAGCTCACAGCTGATAGCTAGCTGTAGAGTAAAGAAAAAACGAGTAAAATCAAAAGAAAGAATGAGTTTCTTGGATATCGGGCAATTGAGATGTATGATGTTGAAGTGTGTTGGAGGGAGAGTTGTTTAATGTTGGGTGTTACTTTTGTGGAGGGCATGAGTGTTATTCTGGCGAAAAGCTTAAAGCTAAGGTGCGGTGCGGCAAGGAAGCGCTCGCTTGAAGTTTGTTCCTGTTTCGGTATAGAGTCCGTCCCAAAGCTCCAGCTATCGACGGGATTATGTAATATGATTGGCTTGATCTATCAATTACGGCATGCCATTTGGCTATCTGGTAATTTACTACGGTTAGTCAAATGAACCTATAGAGCATCTCAACCCACCATCTGGGATTATCTCAGCCTTATTACAACCACCTACGTGACCCCACCTCATCATCGACTCCTTATATCAGTACAATTCATCTCTATAGAGTGAATCTGAGAGCTACCTCATGCCGAGAGTTTTTCTTTACTAAAGCCTCTATATGTTTCCAACACAATTCAACATTATCAAACATATCAATCAACAATTTACCTCAATAATATCACAACACCACAACACCCCACTATCTTGATTCTCTTCGTCTTACAGCCACCATCTAACAAGCCGGCCTCGCCATTGTCGCCATTTACCACCATAATTTCTATGTTACACCGACATTTACTTTTCACCAGAAGCTTTTTGTCTTTTTTTCTCTTAATCACCATCTTATCTCGTTCTCCAGAATGGCGACAGATACTTCGGATCAATCAGGAAGCAGTGATATCAGCATTTACAAGGATCTCGCATCATATTCATGGGATACCGATAAAGAGTTCCAGGTAAGCTTTTTGCTATCTCCTTTCAAACCCTCCTTCATTTGCCCTCAATACGTTATTCAGAGTTACAAGTTTCGGTATATCATCGATTAACATACAATAGGGTGGTCTATCAGCTATATTAGGCAATGCATCTTCACCTAATCAAATTCGAGAATTGACGCTTCGGGCTCAGTGTTTCTATCTCTCTCGTAAGAAGAAGATTGACATCAATTTTGATGGATATAAGGCATATCTGGCAACTCATGTATCCACATCATCTTCTACTGATGTCCCTACGCCTGATAGCGCCAGTTCAGTAAATGAGCCTTTATCTTCCAACATTCCACATTCCGATCGTGAAAATGACGTACCACCTGCTACCACTACAGCTGATGAAAAGGCCCCGCCACCATATCCTCCATCTTTTGCTGAAATCGTCGCTTTAATCACAGCTGGTGCTACAATCCCGGGAATCCGCGATATTCCTGATACAGTTCTGACGGATCAGGGTACCAAGCCAGTCGCACGAAAGCGTCGTAAGCCATGGGAGAAAGACGTTGACGAGGAAACAATTCAGGGTGGAGGAACTTTTGGCGACCACCGTGATACCATTATCCAGCAAGAATATCCAACTGATGCATAAAGATATTTATTTGCATTGTAGTCACATTTTCCAAAAAATGCTTGACATTTTCGGAGTTTAAAGAAATGGCAATATCCAGGGACAGATTACTTTGTGAAAGCTAGGCATTGGGCTTCTTTATTCACTGCCTTTCTTCTGGTTCATATGAAGAAAAAAAACCGTGGACATCAGGTGGTTCTATCAAGCTAGAGGCCCACCAACTGATATGTTATCCTGTTGCTCAAAGGAAAGCTGTTGTACTTGTGATTTTTTCTATAATTTCTACAATGTACGCAGGTTTCCTTTGAAATCGCTGCTCACGTCACTTTCCGAGCTTGAAAGAATGGTCAGGTCCTTTCAGGTCAACTCCTTTGTGCGTTCTAGTGAGCTTTATATTGCCAGTTGGTTATGTCGAGTGCGGTATGTTTAGCAGCGCCAAAACTTCGCGCAGTCATGGTATTGAGCAGGAATTCATGAGAATCTGAATATTCATAATAAGCTCAGGATCAGACTACCACATCGAGTCGGGATTTATTTTATAACTTTCTAGAGCTGGACATACGATTGTGGACCAATCTTCATCCTTCAGTTTATAATACGATCACTTTGAGATAGCACCTAAAATTAATCTTTCAATTACAACAAACTGTCTTCTCCTCCCTGATTGTGTCTTTTGAATCAATATTTGAGAGCTATTTAATGAAACGCATGGTTAGAAGGTTGTTGAACCTGACAAATTGATACACATTTAAACCGGCCATCATTTTCGGGACGCCAGTCATTAGATGATGTTAACTAACACCTTCAAATATGGGTTTTAATTATCTTCATATAATAATAAGTCTGCAATCGTAATTACAATTTGAAGGGATGATGAACAAATTCCACATGCTAGATCTACAGGCGGTTGCCAAGCACTATCGTTTATCACCCCTGCCAAGGGCCTCGGACATCGAATTGGCGAGCACAGGTCACATCTGATGTTCTTAATCGCTCTATTGTTATATCATAGTCATCTGCTATTAAGCAAACCTTATTTTCGAACCATCTTGTCTTATACCAAGATGGTCTCACTTCGGTCATTGTCTTCCAAGATTGTGTTTCAGGTGATTCTTGATTCCTACTTGTCTAATATTCACTCTCACAGTCTACAAAAAATTGCTCTTATTATCCCGCATCCTCAATGGAATTGAGAGGGCTTTCCGAGTTATGTGTAACTACCTTAAAACATGCTCTCAATAAATTCTTGACTTTTCAGCCTACACAATCAAATTTGACAACAACTAAGAGCACACACAACAACTCCAAATTCATTGAGCATTCTTTCATCTACTAGTCTTGCCATTGCCTCCAACCCTACATTATGAAGGTCTATTTATTTGTCTCTGCACTTGTTGCATTCATCACAGCTGCACTAGCTGGCACGGTTCCTCTCGAATCCAGACAATCCATTGTCGGATTGTGGGGAAAATCAACTGATGTTCCCATTCTATATTGCTACAGTAAGTAATGAAAACCTAAGTTCTGCACAAGTTCTTGTCATTTCAAAGATTCCCGTGTCTGAACTCCAGCTAACCAATATTGTAGTGGATGCTGCTTGCATGCAAATGAGAGAGCATTGGCAATCCTGTCAAGTAGATTTATTCGAGGACGCCAATGCACCCATCGGCAATCCCACTGCTCGCAACGAATTAGTAGCAAGCTGTCTTTGCAACGCCGGCATGCCTGATTTAACATCCGAATGTCTGGCCTGTATCAGTCTTCCTAGTCAAAATTTCATGGTCCAGGAAACTTTGCATACGCTTGCTCAAGATGTGTGTGATAAGAAGACTACTCTTGGTCAATATGAAAACTATGCATTGCAATTTGGTAGCGCGGTGCAGTTTCCTCTTATCTTGCCATCGCTTTGGCTTAATGGTACGAAGGTTACATCTCCGGATCAAACTGTTGTCGAGGAGTGAAAGCTTCAGTCGTGTTCGTGAGTGTTCCTGCAGTCCATCAAGCATTCACTGGTTGAAATATTTTTCAGATCGATTTGAGTATGTGGAAATGATGTGGGCACTGATGAAGTGCAGGTCTACTATAACGCAATGCTTTTCTTGACTCATTCATGGATGGATGTGCGATAGTAGTGGGGAGTTTCGGCGGCACTGGTTTCCAGAGGAAACCCCACTCTTCAGATTTAATGAAATGATTTGTGTGCTTCTTAAGCATTCGTTTTGATTTCATAATGAAACATTTTTGCACTTATGATAATGGTTGCCGCGTTTTAAATGCTCTCTTGTGACCTTGAATGTCATATCCATTTTCACAGTGCTCGCCCCATCGAGCAAACTAGCAAGTGTAGTACAGAAACTCGCCATCCCAAACTTGAGTGTTCATTCACCCATATTTAGAAGCCTGGTTCATTTGCAAATTGCGTCAGAGGCCCTTTATTGTTGGGCTTGCTGCTACTACGAGATAATAGGCAACACTTTATGCTTCTGAAAGATATCGTATCATTCATTCATGCATATCACTGGTACAGGAATGACCCTTTCCCAATAAAACCTTTTCGTTTGGCAGAATCTCTCGTAGACATAAATAACTACCGTGTCCTTTTCCAATATGACCTTAACTTTGATCAATTAAATACAGAAACTCATATAGCCGCAGCCACAGACCGATTTACTCATCCGCTAGACGACCCATAGCATAAAACAACCCCGTGTTTTCGTACAAATATTTACCAATACCGATACCTACTTTCCTATTCCTCGTTCCACTCCTCTATTCTGATCGTAGGCACTACATCTTTTTCACCTTTGGATGTACTTAGACTCGCAGTGACTACTTGAATAAACGGTATTTCCCATCCTGCTACCTCGCTTGGATCTGTCCAGGGAGTAACAGATACTAGTTTGACACTCATTAGTTAGCTGAATACTCATAAGTTCTAATTAACGTTCGTCATCTTTGAATTTAGCGAAAGTACTCACAACCTCGATTTCCAGCTTCAATAGCCCGCGATTTGATAAAGTCGAGTATCAGCCACGCATCTGACGCCAATCGTCTTGCTGACCAGTATTCAGTATGGAGTTCTAATTCTGGCGATGTTCCTGGCTTGCCTAATGCCTTCCTCCAATATTGGGAGAGAGTTTTCCTGGATTCAACAGAGGCATCATGGGGAACATTTGAAACCATTCGAATTCTCTCCGGAGCATAAAAATGAATTTCCCCGTTGTAAATTGGTCTCTCCGGTACCACGTCCTCGACTTCTAGTACCATTATGATGCCCTTGAGATTCGCAAATGTTGAGATGATGCAACTGAGGAAGTTCAGCATGTCTTCGAGCTCGAAGAGAGATTTTCGTCGTGTTTTGTATGGAATCGCGAGATATTTCAGGTTATGGAAAGCTGAGCGAGCAAGTGCCGATCTTCGTAATTCGTCAAGCCAAAAGTCTCCTTGGATCCATATGATGTCTTTAGGGTTGTAAATTATGTTTCTTTGCGTACGCGTTGAATAAATGGGAAACGCACTCGGCGATCCATCGGTGAAGGAATCACGTAGGGCGGTATTGCGTTCCTCATTAGAAATTATCTTTAGTGCATCCTCAATGCTCAAAGTTGTATGCGATCTTGTCACTCCTGGCTTGGTGAACCTATCAAGAAATATATTCCGGTATTCATGATTGAGGCATAGGATTGGTGACAAGGAACCGCACGTAAGACGAAAACGCTTTCCAAACATATGGTCATGCTGTAGAAGATCAGATGAAACGAAATGCAATGTTGTAATGCGTGGTTCTTCGAGGTAAAATTCCAGAATGTCGAGCTGTTCAGATGCACAAGTGTCAGTTGTCTTTCTTTGAGAAGAAAGTCTTACGGAGCATAAGTATATAGTAGAAAAGAGACACTTACTCTTAGTTCAATTGGCAAGTCTTCAAATTTATTGAACGTCCTTTCTTCGTCCTCCTCACATAGCTCAGCATCATCAAGAACTTCTCCATTATTTTGTGCTTCGCCAGCACTGGTATTTGTGTCCAAGTTGCGATTTAATGAAGAATTAGAGACCTTGGATAATAACTGTTTCGAGATGGTCTTGACTTTGTGGAGAAACAGATGATTCCTTTTGGGTTCATGATCTGTGACAGCTGTTGAAATTCTTTCGAGTCTTTTTCTTTGAAAATCAATAATAAAACGAAGCATCCTGACAAGTAAGCAAAAACGTAATATTCATGAAATTCTGATATTGTGATTTTTTGATGTAGGTAGTAAGTTCTGTAAGCTCAACTCTGTAGATAGAATAGCCAAGAAATTATGTCTAACAGAGTTAGTACAGACAAACTCAGCCATTATATTCACTTGAGATAATACCCGGTTTCCCTAGATTCGACGAGAATCAAAAAGATAGACAAGTCACGGTTGATTGTACTGATAACAGAGTGGAACGAGAGTCAAAGAAGCCCCCTTCCCCCGCATGATTCCATCCACTTCTTTACTCCGCATTGTTCAAGACAATCGAAACGCACTTTGACACTTTGATGAAATGGGTGTGAAGTTTTCAAACCAAATACAGAAATAATTGAAGCGAACTAAGACGTTCAATAAAAAATATGTCTAATCTCACATCTTGAGCCACTTCATTGCCAAGCTACATAGAAAGTGATGCTAAGTTTTGGCGAGCATCGTCGCGAAGCTAACGGTCTTTGATAAAAATTCCGGTATCAACGCAAGTGAGCTAATTACAAATGTGCAAAATGTCGCTTTGAAACAACACGGAACATAAATTCGTCTCTCAATAGAGCTTAAAAACAACTGCTAGAGCGCGGATGGGGCTCAAAGTCATTCTACCTCAACAATCAGGACATCTCGGTGTCCTTTTGGCAGAGCTGAGGGATGAATCATATATCCAATACTGCACTTATTCAGTACTATTTCATGTTATGCTTCGAGGCTCAACCATAAACCTCCTACAAACATTCCAAAGCCATTGACTATAATACCTAGACCATGGAGCATTGGGAAATTTTCCGACCTGCAATACAATGCTACCCAAGCTACATGATGGGCGTACATATTTGGTCATTGAATTCATAAACTCAATGCCAATACCTACTTTTCCGTTCCGGCATTTCATGAAATCTTGAATGAGCATCGCTGATCACTTGGAACTGAATTCTCAATTAGAAAAGACAATGTTCCGTTCAGAGTAAACTACTAATGATACAGCTCCACCATATTCCTAAGACTTAACATTCGCTGTAGTTAGGGACCGCAATAAGGGTAGCTAGTAATAGATTTAGAATAGTCATGCTCGAACGCTGAATAGCGAACTCGGCCCTCTTGAGCGAGCGAAATGAACATGATGCTTCCGATTGCTCTATTCAAAGACATGGCTACCTCCATCTCTGGTTACTCGTCTTAGGCTTTTGGGTCAGCTTTACCACTCATTTCTTTATTGGTACCCTTGATACAGCTAGAGCATGATGGAAATCAAGAGTAAGTATTTCCTGATGGAAGGATGTCAGGAAGCTAGGATGCCTGGAAATTCTCAATATTTGATCATCAGCCATCGGGTTAAAATTACACACCTTGTATACTCTTACAATCCTCGACAGAGTGAAAATTAACCTTTTTGAGCGGCAATTCACTTTCTTGCATGCCTTTTCGAAGCTGATTTGAAATCAGCATATCACTAGGGATTCTCAATCATTCCGCCAGCCCATAGTGAAGTCTTCTCCACCGTTCTAGCCCGTTTTGCAATACCTTACCTACCTGCATTAGAAGCCACGCGTTTACGAGGAGACACCATCTTTTGTCTTCCAGTTTGCATTCCAGTGGCTTTCCTCACGGCGGTAATCGATTTGGCCCCTCTAGCATTCTCCCCACTTGTGGTTGAAAACACATCTGCTCGGGATTTTTTCATACTTATTGAAGCTGACCGCAGCACGAGGAATTATGTTTTACATTCTTGAATGAAAGGGAAACGATTCTTGGAGCTTCGAATGCGTATTTCCATATTTTCATCTGGGACTTTCGTTAGTTTTTCTTCGTTTTCATGGTTCATGACGTCTATAGTTCCTACTGCGATCATGTTTGCTTACTTTGATTTCGGTTGGAAACCACACAAATAAACCAAAATCACCCCCATTAGTGATCACCGTAACTCTTTCTCCTGCGACAGTGATGTTGAATCTCTTTTCATCATCGGCGGTTTCAGTAGTCTTAGAATCGAATTTTCCCACACCAATCATGCGCGCCGGAAGTGTTTGTACGGAATTAAGGCCGAAATTATCGATTACAGAGTGCAAGATATCTGTTCTTTTCGAGATGGAATCTTGTATGGTGCCCGAAAACTCTAAATCATTGTTGGAAGACATAGAGACGGTGAATACGGATGGAATTTCGAGGGAATATTCAGAAAGCGAGAAATTTTTCTGGTAAGGTTTGGCTATGAGGTCGCAAAAAGTTCATCAAGCAAAAGGATACCGAGGTTGCAGAACATTATCAAGGGTTCTCTGAAGATCAGTAAGCAAGCCCAAATAGAGATTCTTTTTATGTAGCAATCATTGATGATTGGTCTTCAGAAGTTGCTGGAGTTTTATGTGAAGTTGATATCCTTCTGAAATCTAAGATTAAGGCTCGGAGTATAAAATTATCCGAGAGTGTATTGAATAGAGTGGAATGAATACTACACATCTACATTTAATGTAAAAGTTACATTGTGGGATCAATCACGTGTGGAAGATTTCAACATTAGATCCATTCTCAAGTAATTAGGTAGCTAGTCATGGAAATGCTTATTATCTAATCTGATATACTAAAATGGTTATTGCTATATATTTGCTACTAGAATTTCTTATAGTAGTTGGTAAATGCTTATACAGCTGTGTATATAATTCTGATGGTGATTGGTTCAAAATTCAAATTAGCCGAACGGACGCATTTCGAATCAAGAACTTCACTCTTCCATCTTTCACTCATTCTACGCTAATCTAATAATAGATTGCTTATCAGTCGGAGTAGGCACTCCCACCATCATATTTATATCTTTATAATTTTGTTCTCCATTCAATTCACAAGCCTGCCAACATTCAAACAATACATCTTACAACGACAGCAACAACAACAACAATATGACAGATCACACGCCAGGTTCTAACTCCTCTTATCACAAAGAACCTAGAGAAATGAAGCTTGAATACAAGACTGAGAAAGACTTAGATTCTTCGAGTCATCCAAAAGAGGAAGTAAAAGAAGAATATAGTATCTCCAATGGACCTCGCAAGAGTAACACTTTGTACTTAATCATAAGTTCAACAAGTGACACCTCTCATAGAGATTCCCAAGAACTCAGAGATGATGCACAGAGATCAAAGCGGGCAGTACCCCTTTTGATTGAAAGATCCAGACTGCCAGCAGAAAGAAACGTTTTTATGAGCTGGTGACTGCAGGCCCTCTTAATGTTCGAGTATGTTAAAACTGTCTATGTATTCATCTGCTAGTTGAAAGATGACCTTGAAGCCATCCCGTGATTCTCGCCAACATTTTCACAGTCAATGATCTGGGAGCAGGCTCCCCTAGAACCAAAAGTTGTGCGCATCGGTATTGTGCCAACAGAGCGCACAATAGGGCACTGGCAATACTGCTATGATGATCTTATTCAAATCGATGAAGAATCGATGCTCCTCAAACGAAATCACATTCTCAAAACCCCTTCATGTTCTCTTCTCTTTGTCAATAGAGAATCTTGACATCAAGCATTACAAGTACACGGTGTATTTTGGGAACAGAAGCGCCCGTGTGGAGAAGCCGAGGATGGATATGTTTCAATCAACCGCATATATGTCAAGTGGGAGATCGATACCGTATGGTTGGATTATAACCTCTCCGTCGCGTGGCGTGATAATGAAATGGATCCAAGCGACATACTAATCACACGAATGCCGGCATACGAAAAAGTTCGTCGTCTTGCAATACCAGCAGAATTTATCGAATGGCCTTGTGATATGCGAGCATCGGATACAGGTTTAGCAATTGCAGATTTACCAGATCTAGAGGACTTGGCTTTGCTGGTTCCTACGAAAGAGACAGTATGGAGCGACTCAATTCTCGTCCCAACGGTACCAAACACGACATCCTTTAGCTATCTCGATAAATTCGACTGTGAATCATTTGGTTCGGGTTTCGAGTTTTTTATTGATGAAGATGAATACGAAATTATTTTTGAGAATTTCGATATGAGTGAACTGAGGGACTGTGTATATTGTGTCTTTCAGCACACTCTTGAAATTTTTTAGTCTTCAGATAAAGGGGAATAAATCGCAGGTAAGTATAACTTGTCAGAAATATTAAATCACGTAACTAACTACTCTTACCAGCGGGATATATACGTGATATTTACACCTGGGAATGGCCAGATGCTCAATACATGAAAGTAAGCACAATTGAGAGGGAGAAAGTCAAAGTTAACGCTAAGGCTCTGCTTGGGGTTCTGTCAGCGGAGGTTTATGAAGTAGATGATGAAGACACAAACGGAAGACGCCGTGGTGTCAACAATTTTTGGGATGTTATGATACTTTCGCGAAATTTGCGGTAGAGGGACTTCAGGAACAGGCAGACATCTCTAATCGAGCAAAGACTAGCACCTTGATTGGGTTTCCCAAGCTAGATTTGCAATGAGGAAGGGTTTACAATTTTTCAGTAAATGGATGAAGCATATGATTGTAAAATTTGACACTATTTACTTCCATAAACCGTACTAGTGCAAATCAGACAGTTTAATTCTCATTCTTTATATAATATACGTGAAATTCTTGAACGGCAAAAAGAAACGGCAGAGCTAATATCCCGACTTCCAGTCCAAAAGCATATCTAGTGTACTACTAACGTGAGAAATTCGAATAACATAAGCAAATCTTGAAAGATTGACATCAGGTGGAAATGCTCTCGCATTCTTCCTTGCCTCTCTGTTCATCATTCCACTCGACCTTTCTCTCTCACAGTACCTATTACCCCAAAAACCAGGACGAGAGATAATTACAGTATCACTAATATCACATGTAGATTGATGAAGAAATTGATTTATTGATTTATTGATTTCATTATCAATTTACATATTGTACAAACTTTGGTAGCTTCAGGCAGCTAACCCATAAAACTCTCCGAATTCTATCAGAATCTTTTACCAAGGATTACGCCTATGGATAATCACAACTAAAAGGTGAATAGAGTATACCAACAATTTCAAGATGTATCCCCAAAAACCCTAATTGTAAAAACATCTATCTTCGCGGATCCCGTTGATCATCCCGGCTCCGGTAATATTGTTGTTCTCTTTCCCTTTCCTGTCTCTCTCTCTCACGTTCTCTCTCATAGTGATGCTCATAGCGCTCTTGATTTTGTTGTTGTTGTTGATATTGCATGTGGTGGGAAGGTGCTTGGGCATAACCTTGCTGACCTGAAACTGATGTAGATGGTGCAGCATTATAGTTCCGGGCATCGAAGCTGTTTTGTCGTGAATTGTGCACATGATGACCTACTTGATGACCTTGAATCCATTGACCACGTTGTGCTGGTGGAGTTCGATGTCCACTTTGTCCACTTTGTCCGAATGCCATAGATCGATGACTAGCTGCCACTTGAGGTGCTGAATGGAAGTCTACCGGTGTGTTCGGTTGTTGTGGCACAGCGAACTGTGATTGACGATTATATATATCACGATCGGAAGCTTGAGGTAAGTCATGAGGAGACGACATTGTCTGACGTGTCATTTGTTGACTAGCAGGAGGAGGAGTAGCAGAATAAGGTGATTCATTAATCTTCGTAATTGGACTTCGTGTATATCCGCTCGGAGCATTTATTTCATTTAAAGGCTCTCGACGAATAGATGAAGACTGCGAACCAATTGTTTGGCGAGAGGGTTGAGAATACATCTGGTGATGTTGTACAGTTGGTTGGGGTGCATGGCTTCGGCCTTCATAAGGTGTTGGTGTGTAACTGCGACCCACGGAGGATGAATGTTGATGCATAGATTGGGAAGATGATTGTGGATACCCCCCATGCTGTGGATTATTTTGAGAAGATATTTGATGTTGAGCCTGCTGCATCTGCTGATTTTGTTGAATTTGCTGGGATATTTGTTGCGACTGTTGAGATGAATGCGATGAAAATCGTGAAGTCTGTAATGAACGTTGAGGTGGTGGAGTTTGTGAATTTTGAATTGGAATTGCCGCGGCACCACCAACTCTCTTCGGTTGGACTTGTGCTATTTGAGGAGCTCTGCTAGGTTCACTGGATTCATCGTTCAACAAGGACATGATATTGGAAGTCTTTCTTGGTGTGTCTTGCTGACGTATAGCAGCAACAGCCGCTGGTGGAGGCGGTGGTGTTGAATACTGCTCTTGAATTGGCGGAGTAACAATGCCCGATCGACCGAAAGCTGGAGAGGGAGATGGAATCAAGTTTGGAGCAACACTCATACCATCACTAAGCAAATTCCTGACACCTTGACTTCTCGGATATTGTTGGTTTGGTGCTAAAGATGGTGCTTGTCTTCGAACCTCCGCTGCGGTGACTGTCGGATATGGAACTTCGGGTCTTGTAGGTGCCATTGATCCTGTACGGCTAGAGTGTGCAGAGTATAGTTCATATTGTTGTGGATTTCGGACATCAATTTCCTCTTGCTTCATCTGAAAGTTTCGTTGTTCTCGCTTTTCTTTTCGATCTTGTTGTTCTCGTTGTTCACGCTGCTCATGATCACGCTCTTGTTTTCTCTTCAAATTTCGTTCTAACTGTTCTTGTTTTGACTCCCTCTCCCTTTGTAGCTGTTGCTGCCGCTCGAGAGCCTCCATTTCCCTTATCTGCTCTCGTCTTTGGAATACCTGCTGTTGCTCACGATGTGTCTGTTCTCGCAAAGCCTGCTGCTCTCGAAGGGCTTGTTCTCGCTCCCTAATCGCTTGCTCTCGAATAGCTTGTTCTCGAATAGCCTGCTGCTCTCGTCTGGCCTGGTCTTGTAAAGCTAGCCGTTTTATGGCTTGTTGTTGTTCCTGTGACATTCGTTCTACCTCATGCTCGAGAGCCTTCTGCCTCTCGCGATGGGCTTCCTCAGCGACCCGGGCTGATCTTTGAGAAGCAAGTGTGGTTGGATCGGAAATTGGTGAAGCAGTTTGAGATTGTTGCGAAAGATTACTTTGTAATGTGGGTCGTTGATTATCAGTCGTGAAGAAACCCATGGCAGGACCTCTTGGTTGTCTAACTTGCTGACTCTGAATTTGTTGTGGTTGTGGTTGTGGTTGTATCTGAGAGGCTGTTGTTGATGGTGATGCTGATATCGGTTGTTGCTGTTGCGGGATTTGAGATAAGCTGTGTTGATTAGCCTGATGATGGGAGCGTTTAGATGGCAAGGAACTAGGAGTTATCGTTTGATTCATTGATTGGGGAACTGGTCCAGCTTGAGCTAAAGCTGGGAACCTAGTACTCAATGTGGGTTGAGGAGGGGAGGCTTGGGAAAGAGTTATAGGTTGGTTAGCAGATAGTTCATCGAGATCCATAGCAGAAGCTGATCTTGATAGAGGAGCGGGTGTGGGGTCATATCGTCGCTTCGTTGGAGCAGATGGTGTTGGTGCCGGTCCAGTAGATTCGCCTCTCTCACGTTTCGAGTCAGCATCTCGAGTGATCGTTTCCCATTCTTTCTTACTTCCAGAATCAACGGAGCGTTGATAGTAGTTCTTGACCTGTTCAGCAATGTTAGCCAGCCGCTTAAGGCCCGGTTTTCCTTTCTTGATATTAAGCCAGTCAGAAAATATATCGTTATATACCATGGTATGTGTTTTTGTTCCCATATGTTTTGCAATTCCTTGCCAATCTGTACCAAAGTGTCGTAGTAGTTCAGGAAAGTCATGCACCTCCGGGACACTCCAATAGCTAGAAGTTTGTTGTTGGGCAGTAGAACGACGATCCGGTTGAGATTCAACAGTTGTTGGAGGGGCAGATCCAACACGTTCAGGTGCAATTGGAACCTCTAGATTAGCTGGTGTAAGTCTTTCAGGTGTCATGAATGGTGGTGAAAATGCTGGAAGTTGTTGAGGAACAATACTTTCATATGGAGGGAAACGAGCAGGAGCTACAGGAGGTCTAATTGGAGTAGGCTCGGGTGCAGCGGTTGATGGAGGAGGATTCGGCGATTCATCGTTGCGGGTAGCAGGAGATGGGGCAGCTGCTAGAAGTTGACTAGCCTTGGGTTGTTTCGGAACCTTCTCTCGTGGAACCTTTACTTTCCTTTTGGGTGGAGCTGAGTCACCACTTGCATCTCCTTTTGGGGTAGCGACTCTTTTTGCTGGGGTTGGTGCAGGGCTGGCGCCTTCATTGTCAGTTGGTGGAGGTGCTTCAAAATTCCAGGTTGGAGCAGCAGCTCTCCTAGGTCGACGTCGTTCGTTTCCATTCTCGACATCTGGTGTAGCGTCGGTGTCGTTGCCGCCTCCATTTTCTATGTTGGTAATGAGAACGCTAGATTTTTTCGCTCCTTTCCTCCTACCAGTTTTAACTTGATTATTCTTCTTCTTGAAGATCGCTTTCCATTCATCAGTTGTTTTAATAATGTAATAGTGCTGAATGCAGGCCTTGTAATCACGATGTGGAAGGCTTTCTGCGATGACAGAAAATTGCTTGCCAGAATGGGAGTACTTCTCTCGAAAGATCCGAGCCTCCTCTTCCGTGAAATTGTCGATGGATTCTCCAAATTCAAGCATACGAAATGATCGCTCAAATGGAACCTTATGCGTGGTATCTACAAACATAGTTTCTTTGTATTCATCATCCCAACACATATCTGGAATGCTCGCTTCCTTGGAATTAGCGGTCTCTTCCCTGGCATCCTGTTCTTGCTGTTCCTTCGATTCTTTAGCTTCACGCTCGGATTCACGAAGGACGCGTTCTATATCGTGCTCTGTCGCAAATCTACTCCCAGTGCGCCGCTGGCCCTCTGTCTTCGGATCTGAACCATTTACCGATTTGCCTCGTTCGACCGATTCCTCGGCTTCCCTGTCTTGGGCTTTAGCAAATGCTTCTCTACTTCGTACAGCAATCGGATCCAAATCCATATCAGTAAATGTGCGGTATTTAGCATAATTGTCCGCCCACAATTTCCCCTCTTCTTGTTGTCTTCTCCATTTCTGCGCCATTTTTTCTTCCATGAACCTCGAAAGAGAGGGTTCGGCATCAGGAGCAATTTCAAGAGAGCTCAAAAACTCGGGATCCTCGTCCCATTTATTATAATCATACATTGGCAAAGATTCCGGGGGAGGCGTCTTTGTATCCCTGGGGTGCTTAACAGCGTCGAGAATTTTAGACTGACGATCCTCTTCGAGAGCGGCTTCTTGTTGAACAAGCTTTTGACGTAAAAGTTGGAATCCGGCTTGTTCGGCTTCATCTTCATCATCATCACTTTCTTCGGGAATCTCCATCGTTAGTTCTGGGGCCTGTGGGACTGGTGAAGGTATCTTTTGTGGTCCAAAATCATAATGGCCATCTTGTTCTTTTCGAATACGGCGAACGTCTTCTCCGGAATTGTCCATGTCATCTACTACCTCCTGATTGACAGATTCATTATTTTCAAATGTCTCTGTACCCTCCATCTGATGATCACCATCTGCATCTTTATCCGTTGGCCTTTGAATTGGAGCCTGAGTCCTGGGACTGATTGATGAATCATCTTCAGGTGCTTGAGCATCTGGGAGGATCTCAGTATCGATAGGTCCTAGAGATAATGGAAATTTGTAAACTGGTTCGATTTCCGATTTTCTATCCCTCTCAGCAGCTAATCCTGATGCTTCGTCTGACACGGGCGGTGCTATATCCGTAGATTTTCCCGCAATTCTTTTGTCGTCAAGCGGCTCCAAGATGCGCTCGGAATAGTTTCTTAATGGCGAAGGCGAAGGCGGCTTTTCTAAACTGGAGATGTTCGCACCAACATGTTGAAGCTCCACGCTAGGGATATCTTGAATATCGTTCTTGGAAGTATTGTTTTCAAGATCAGTTCTTGGTAATAGTGACGACTCAATCGTAGAAGGTTGGGAATCTGTGGGCTCAATGGTAGTAGGTTGAATGACGGAGGGTGCAGTGTCTTTAGAAGCATCGTCCTTTGGGGATGTTTCTTCGGATACACGAGCTTTAGAGAAAGTCTCGTTAGTGGACCGGTCCTTTGAGCTCTCAGCATCTGTTTTTGTGACTGTGGAATGGGGAATATCAACATTGGTCTCGGTGGGTTTGGTGGGGGTGCGAGACTCTTCTTCAGAAGGCGATTGCCTTCTTTCAATGGGCAATGGAGCAGGATGGATTTCTGGCGTTGAGACTGCTTCCTTGGTGATAGAATCATTTGTAATCACATCAGTAGTGGAATTGGAATCTTTGATGACTACAGTGGGTGACGATTGTGGTTCTTCAGAGGGTATAAATGGCTTTCCTGGGTCAGTAGCTGGAGGTTGACTTAAATGTCGTTGATGGTTTTCAATAACGCTCGAGTCGATTGTTGCTGCTGGAATGGGTGATTTCAGAAATGGGGAAGCTGGACTTTGATGATCTTCACCGACAAAGGGCTTAGAATCAGCGGATGACATGTCTTTTGTCGGGTCCAACACTACGTCGGGCTCTTTCTGAGGCTCTAAGTGAGGTTCAAGCTCAGAGACAGATTTATTTTCCCCCTCAGTCAGTGCGTAAGGCATATCGTTTGCGGATTCAGAGCCGACAGATTCAGTCAAAGTATCCGGAACTTCTCTTGTATCTATTTGCAAAGGTAGATCTCTAAACGAGTTGACAAGGAAGAATTGGTCAAGAGGAGGTAAGTCGGGTCGGTTGCGAGCATCGTTCATGCTACGCCTGACCTCCGCTATTTCACTCTCGAAATTGATCTCATCCTCTGGGTCATCATCATTGAAGGGGTCCAAATCGGAGTCGGAAAAACTATCACTGATCTGTATTTTGGGTGGGCGTCTACCGAACAGGGGCTTTCGCTGGCGATATTTTTTGTCAACTCGTGCTACCTCATCAAATTTATGTTCTGGTGTTGCGACGACTTGCGTGTCCGATCTGTTGTCTAGTGGGGGGTTTTCAATAGACTGAGGAACTATAGATTTTGCGGGAACATAGAGGCTGCCTGGAGCCCCACGACCGGCATGGAAACGGGGCGCAGTTGGGACCGATACACCAGGTACAGGACTTTCACTGACCGATGCTCCAGTTGAACCAAATGCAGGAACTTGAGGAGGAGGGGCTTCATATGGTCAGCATCATACACAGAACACACATGTTAAAACATGCACAGGAACCAAATTGAAGTACCAGGAACAGGAAAAGTAATTAGATCGTGAGACTTACTTGCGGATGGTTGAGTTCTACGTGGAAAATTCGGTTCAGGAGATCTACTGCGGACTTGAGGTCGATGATAATGTTCATCATAGTTATAAGGTCGTCCACGTCCACGTGCTAATCCGTTTCCTCTTGCTCTTCCATAACCATGAACAAATGGTTGAGATGCCTCGGACGAAGGCGAGGTAACAGACATTGGACCATCTCGTGAGCCTCTTCGAGCACGGTCAAGGTCAAGGCTTGAAGGTACGTCACGAGTATCTCTACTATTGTAATTAGGAGATCTTCCCCTACCAAGAGGGGATGAAGGCCTTCGCCCTTTGAAGCTGTCCCGACCACCCCATTCTCGATCGCGGCTTCGATCATCGCGAAACGGTACTAAAGGTCCTCTATTATCCCTTCGGATATCTCTATAGTCTCTTTCTCTTTCTATTTCTCGGCCACGCTCTCGATCTCGATCCCGATCCCGATCGCGGTCTCTACTCTCATCTCGCCAGCTACCTCTTCCGCGACCACGACCTCTGCCACCTCTGAAATCACCCCGATATCCGAAATCGCCTCGATATCCATCGCCAAAACTGTTGCCTCTAGGGCCGCTTGGGGGGTCGATATAACTTTTAGATCCAGCTCGTGGTCCCCGAGGAGGATCGCGTAATGATGAATCTCGATTTGTGTCTCGTGAAAGTGTATGCCTATCTGAGAAAAGCTCTCGATTTTGATTGTGATTAAATGCAGCAGTGTTCGCTCTTGAATTTGATGGCGATCGGCGCCTATCACCGCCGCGCGCAGCCCCTCTATAAGTATCGGAATCGCGGGAGTCGAGATATCGCCTTGGAGATCGATCCACAGGAGAGCGGGCGCGAGGTGATGTGTGTGGTCGAGTCCTGAAAGATTGAGGTTAGAATCAATTTTCATACAAGAACCATTGGAGCGACAAACATTGCGACGAGATTTGCAAAAGGGGAAGACTACAATTTGTAGTAATCCCCAGTCCCTGTTGTCCTTCTTTAATCGGTATCTCAGCGCCTGGCTACCTAGTATTTATCAGTATGGCCGCTGCAATTACGACTCTGATTCGGCGCTGCTGTTCATCAAATGGATACTAGAACAGTGTCAGAAGTGTAAGCGGTGGGTATTGATATTGAATGGCTGCACTGAGTATTGTCGCTGGCGCAGTATTGAATTTTGAGAAGCATGCGAAATGGATTTGATCGAATACTGAGGTTGCCGCAATTGTTCATTCCCGCAGCACGACCGATATAGTTCGACTTGGCTCTAAAAGTTTGACCAATTAAATCTCGTTGTTTGCGGTCCGATCCTTCAAGGTTTTATAGCCTCGAATTTTGACCTCAGCCTCAGGGTTTTTGAGCCTAGCTTCGAATGTTATCATGTGATTAGCCACACTTGTGTTGTTTTCAAAAGGAGTCAATTGATACTATTTACTGAATTTGCATGAACAAAGAGTGAAATATTCCTTATTCAATAGAATCATACCTTCAGACGACCTAGTAAATACTGAACGATTCATCTGCACATCAGATCATTTTCTGATGATCCCATGCTGAAAACCTAGGTACAGGTATCTACAAGCATTTAAACATTTATTTCCCCGCAACGATTTAATCCTATTGAAGTCGCACAAGTTACGTGCTCCACAGTTCAGCCACAATGTAGAAGTGCTCCATAATATTAGCTAATCATTCAAGATGTGGCTTGACGAGGGCGCATAGACTCTTGGTGGAGAATAAAATTTCGACACTTCTTTCAGAGCCTCGAAAGTAAAAGCGTTACACGGGCCACAAATCGCTTCTCCCTGCATCAAAACTTTTGATCACATCTCCTGACCAAGACATATATGAGAATATACATGAACACAACGCGTTCGTTGATACTTCTGGGAATTTGATTGTGTATATCATTTTCTACCACAGTTGATACCAGAATATTCAAAAGAAAAAGCCCAGAAATGGCCTCAACGTCCAATTCCGATGGAGCACCTCCATCCTCCGTCATGGATGCAGTTCTCGTCCCGTCAAACGAAATGCCAGTCAATGCACAAAAAGTCGAGGAGCTCGACTTTAACAAATTTGCCGGGCGTCCGATAACCGTTGATGATCTATTGAGTGGTATGAATAATATGGGCTTTCAAGCAAGTTCCATTGGTGAAGCTGTTCGAATAATTAATGATATGGTACGTTATTCCTGTCTCATCATTTCTACAAAACCTAACACTACCAGCGTGCATGGCGTGGTCCAGAACCATCCGATCGTACCACCATTTTCCTTGGATACACTTCAAATTTGATCTCAAGTGGACTTCGTGGTACTCTTCGCTACCTCGCTCAACATCGTCACATTTCTGCAATCGTCACCACTGCCGGTGGTGTCGAAGAAGATATCATTAAATGTCTTGGTCCCACCTACATGGGTTCATTCTCTACTCCTGGAGCTGAGCTCCGTGCCAAAGGTCAAAATCGTATTGGAAATCTTATTGTTCCCAATAACAACTACTGCGCATTTGAAGACTGGGTAATGCCCATTCTCGACACTATGCTTGCTGAGCAAGAGGAATCGAAAAAAGATACTGACACTGACAACCACATTTACTGGACACCCAGTAAAATTATCAGAAGATTAGGCAAAGAGATCAATAACGAAGAGTCACTACTTTATTGGGCCTATAAAAATGATATCCCTATCTTCTGCCCAGCACTTACCGATGGTTCCTTAGGCGATATGCTTTACTTCCACACTTTCAAATCCTCTCCAGCTCAACTCCGTGTGGATCTTGTTGAAGATATTCGCAAGATAAATACTATGGCTGTACGAGCCAAGCGAGCAGGAATGATCATTTTAGGTGGAGGTGTAGTCAAACATCACATTGCGAATGCCTGTCTGATGAGAAATGGAGCCGAGAGCGCAGTTTACATCAACACTGCGCAAGAATTCGATGGAAGTGATGCTGGAGCAAGACCTGATGAAGCAGTTAGTTGGGGAAAGATTAAGGTTGGAGCTGATAGTGTCAAGGTTTATGTTGAAGCAACTGCCTGTTTCCCACTGATAGTGGCAGGTACCTTTGCAAAAGATCAAGAGAAGAGTGCACCCCAAACAACTTCAATACCCTCGGAAAATTAAGAATAGAATTACGATTGCAAATTGAAACCTCTTCATACCTGTGAACTTGTATGGATGAAAGACTACCTAGTTCTTAGCCGAGAATTGGAAACTGACAGTCATAACAATCTGTTTTATCGAATTATCTTTCATTCCCAATACTTCAAATTGTGCAAGTGCCCCTACAGAATAGGTGATTTTTATGCTTACATGATATCTACTCTCGGAGAAAATGTTTACCTAGACTTTCATCGGTAGGTCTGCAGATAGAACATCATACACACACTCCTTCCGTTCACAAAAGCCAACAATGAATGGAGTAACAGCCATCGTACCTGACGTATTCCAATTTCAGTAGCAGGAGCAGGCTTCTGTTTGAAAATTTCACTTCTGAGAGTTATTTGCATAGTCTCTATCTCCACAATCGGGTTTGTGATGCGTTGAGTGAGATATCAAGCCAGAGGTTTCTTTTGGGGGGTGTTAGAAAGTTCCCTTCCCTTGTGTGGTAAATCTTTGTTTTGGAAGGGGGTTAATTGGTATAATAATGATAAATGATGCATGATTGTTGAAAGATAAAAATGCACTACCCAGCGCTCAAATAAGTACAGATGTATTATGACCATATGTAGAGAAGAAATAGGATTTCATTCGTGGTTGGGGATGGAGTCAAACACAAAAATGAGTTTTGTAAAGGTACGGATGGATTAATTGACACCTATGGAAAATATGAGAAGTGGAATTTAAAACTAGATATTCTTCTCGCTGATTGTGATGGGATTTATTTATTCAGGTGTAGATTATGATGACTCTTAAGTGAAGGCGTTGAGAAATTGAGAGCTAGGTGGATAGTGTTTAGTTTGTTGTAATGGATTCGGATATTTTGGTGTAAATTATCGTGGGTATGGAGAGATAATGGTAATTTATTGATATAGGTAGACTCGATAATATCTCGTTTCATGATTAAGGGATTATAACTCTAGAATGGGCTATGCATTCTCTTCATACTCAGTCTAATGGTATCAAGGTGTAAGTGAGAAGTACCATCAGTAAACTAGGTATTTCTAATATGTTGTCCGAAAATCAAGAATAGATAACTAAAAGACTTCATGCATCGCTGTATTCACAGTAGAGCAGATTGTTTAGACGTAGGTGAAGTATTACCGGTGGATTATTGATGGAATCTCTGTGAAGCGACATGGGTATGACATTCAAAGCTTAGAATCACATCTCATCAACCACAACGAAGTCAGATATTAAGGATAATGAGTTAAAAATAACCTACATCACTTGGTTTGCAAAATCCCCATAATCTCTCCATAGACTGACCTAGTCTGACCTAAAAGTCAGAACAAAGCCAAAGTCATACTGCGCCACTCGCATGAGCAAGCAAGAAGAATGAATCCGACCTTCACAATATCCACCACGTATCAGAACTCTACCGCTCTCAAAATGCATCAACCGCTGACCGGGGACCAGCACGCTGTATTGAGAAAGAATGCCGCGTCTCAAGCACCCATGATATCCGAAGCCACCCCTGCACATCAAGTACCTTGAGAACACGCCGCATTTAGTGTAAAGACCAACCCATTCAAAGAACGCAAGTATGACAAAAACCAAACGCAGCACTATCAAATCCAAACCACCATATATCCAAACTGAATCAGCCCAGATCTTCTTCTCTATGGTTAAGATTATGCTTGCTTTGGCTTGGTTCGGGAAGCACGGGGCTTTTTCTCGATAACGGTTAACTCGGCTGGGAGTCCCGCGGCTCGCAGTGGAACACCGATTGCATCCAATTCAACAGTGAGCTCTCTTCTGACACGAGGCTTGAACGCTTGTGGCTGGTAAATTTGGCGCTCTTGCTCAGCTTTGGCTTCTCTAGCTACCTTTCTCTCTTCCGCAGTCATTGGGACCTTGGCTGCTGCAGATTTTTGCTTTTTGGCAGAGTTCTTCTTCGTTCTTTGGCGAGGCTCCTTGGCGAGAGGTGCAGTAGCGGTGCCGTTGGCATCCTCGGCTTCTCGCTTCCGTTTTGTAGCATCGTGTTCGAGTGGTTGAGAGGCAGCTTCTTGACTGGACCTGCTTTTTGAGTCGTCTGATTCCGTTAGTGTTGCAGGTGGCGATGGTAGTTGAGTAGTCTTTGGTGGGATAGGCTCTGGTGTAGGTGATCCGCGGTAAGAAATAGTGTCTTGACAGCTAATTGTATCAGATTGATCAGATATAGGGACTTCTCGTCTTTGGCGTATTTCCTCAATCCAAATAGCCTCAGAATCGGATACAACTGCTGTCGTCATGCACATCAAAATGTCAACAACTTCAACTGCGTCATCTGACATTGCTGTAGCAGATCCTACATCGATCTTGTTGACTTCTGACTCCATTTTGGAAATAAGTGATGCCGAGTGCTGTATTCGAGATTCTATAGTAAAATGATCGTCAGCCTATATTCTACATAATCAGTTATTTGAAGAGGCTACAGGCCAACAGTAAAAGACATCTTGGTTTCTCTACTCTCGGCGGAATTTTTGATGTAATGATGCATCGGCGTATTCCACAAAATCTACAGCTATGGAAATGATGGATGGTCCAAATATAATCCACTGAACCGGCTAATGAGATACTCTGCGGCGATAGACCAAGTTGAGACTTTTTACCATTCCAAAAACTGCAGACCTTTGAAGGCGACTCGCTTATCTGAATGATACCAAACATGAATTGATCAATACGCTGACAGGCTCAATATCAATCTCTTAACGAATTTGAAGATTAGATATCTGTAGTTGTTGGATTACAGTAAGGGTTGTAACATCAGTGAGAGATAGGAGTACAATCCTATGCTTTCATTTGACGACAAAAGACATGACTAGCAAGGGTCGATGAAATTGCACTCATACGACAAAATCTTAATGAAAGGGTGAGAATTTGGACACGTACTTTGTTGCGATTCGATGATCTATCTGTTGCGGTTGCGGAAGTAGAATCTTGTCGTGTTTGTGAATGGTAATGAGTTGAAAAAGGGATTTGAGGGGAACTTCATCTTTTTATACGGAGATGAACGAACATTGGAAATGACTTGTTTGTACGGTAGAGACGGCGATCATTAAGCCATCATATCTAGCTCCATTCACACTACAAATGTGGCGGGGTGTAGTTGAACCCTAATTGTTTTAGCATCATGTTAGATACCACAGTATTGCTAACTTTTCAGGGATCAAGAAATATACCACGTAGGGCTCAATAGGACGATCAAGTCACGATCGTTAGATGACTATTACTTGATTCGACAGAGTAAATCCCTCCATTATTGGATGAATATCACATGATACATACCTAGGTGTGTGAAATTCGAACTTTAGAGTTCAGTTGGAATTCATTATATAATACAGAAGTAATTAGCACCATTTCATGTACTCCGATTGATACGAGAGGTGGACGATCCAAAGAACGATAGATGGGTATACCCTGACAGTGTATTTCGATATGACGGCTATTTCCTAATCTCATACGATGGGATTTTCATGGATTGATCTGTAGTGCGTGATCACAACAGATTCAAGAGCCACTGTGATGTATCGATTACGTGACAATCTACCCAAGTACAATTCAAGGTTACCGAAGTTTTGCTTGACACTGAATCATTCCAATCATATTCATCTCTCTTTACATTCTAATTGTGGAACTCATCACCTCACTCACCACGGCAGTCCAAACTTTCAAGAAAGTTATTACTTATCATAAGAAATAAACTCGAAAAGAACAAATCTGCAATCCTTCAAGCTCAAGATTTCGAGAAACCACAGAAATTGGAGTAATCATCCGCTTTGAAGACTTTTGAAATCGTATGCCTATCTTATGTATGTTACTGATATATTTAATCCTACTATCATCAGCCTATTCGCACCTTCTCTTTGCTAGTCAATAAGCTCATGAGTGGGTGGAAAAGTATGTTCGCCAACAGTCATTTTGTTTGTGTAATGATTGTACCTCGTTCGATCACTGCACCTAGATTTTTCGTGGGAGCCAAAGTGAAACAAGTTATCATTTGATATTTGCAGAGTGACTTCATGGTACTTAGGGAGTTGCAGTGAAATATCATGGTTTTATCAGAAATACAAGAGACTCGGATCATGAGCGACTACCAGCTTTAAAGGGATATATTTCATTGAAAAGATAAATAAATTATATACCTTTGAAGACTCTAGGCATTTACTTCTAAGTTATATCCGTCAGTATTTGCAGAGACATACTGGAATTAAGACTGCCAAGACTTAATCAGATAAAGTGTGGTGCTAGTCAAAATAGTCTTGTTGAAAAGCATACAAAAATAGGTACTGACCAATAAGATGTAGAATCAATCCATATAATTCAGTTGTTCAAACCTCGATAATAGATTCAAAACTTTTGAAGTACCAATTGACAGTCGAGATAACTTCCAAAAGAAAATTTATCTCATTTTCGTGGATGCAGGAACGATTGAATCGCGATTTTGATGTGCTCACCCCTAAGCGGAGCCTCCTCGCTAGTGCTTGAGTTTATTTTGACGTCGGTAATCTCGAAAATTCAACCAATCATTCAGCATGCTCCATAATTCCATTAGACGAAGACGCGAATACATTATCTGAGCGAAAATTAAAATGGAATGTGAGAGCGGTAGAGACACGTGCTTTCCTTTCCGAGCAGAGCCTCCCCGTCCATATAGAAAGGCATTCGACAACTCAAGAATGGCCTTTTGCATGCCTTTAATTTTCGAGCTACTATTAAAAAAACAATAGTAAATGGGGTCAGTACGATCACAAGAATTCAAGCAATGAATATTCGGATTTACATTGGGTTTTCTCCGGATTTCCAAACGGGATGATGGTCCACTGTTGCTTCCTAAAGTAGCAAATATCTTTAGCCTATAATAGTTCCTTGGCAAGAGAAAGTCAATAAACACGTATGGCAGTTCATATAGAAATATGATCAAGATGCACGTGGAGCGAATGATCGGTCGGTGTCTTGAAATGGAGGGGTCATTATTCTCCTTGCATTCTTGGCTATCGAACTCTGCCTATTCTTCGTGATTCAAAAAACCACACTTTTCGGCAGCCTCTGCAGCTCCATTATTGTATCCTCAAGTTATTGTCCTATTGAGGGGGAAAGTATATGCTATCGTTCATATTGAGCAACTACAAGCAAAGGGAAACAAGTCGTCGAATCAATTCTTTCAAAGGCAAAGGTTTCAAACACCTCTTCACTAAAAGAGAAAGGACATCTTAGGTATTATCAAAAATACAAGGCCCTACGAATATAGAACAAGAGCGAAGTATTGACATCTCGGACAGCAGAGATGTGAAATACCCCTCATTCAAAAGAGAAGGTAACCTACTGAGCATTGAAGATAGGCGCGCAAAGGTAGAGGATATTACTGAATTGATAGATGAACTGACAAGGGAGGTACAACAGAGCGTCTTTGAAAGATATGCTACTCTACTAAAGATCTTACAATGGTGTATTCATCTTGAGCGAATATACACGCTTGTCGTTTTTACGCTCTGGATAGCAAGATTTTAATTGCCTTCTATTTTGTATTATGTTCACTTGATTTGAGGCATTACACATTATCGCCTTGGATTTTATGTGTGGCGCGATTGCGTCGTAGATCGCTTTAAATTCGAGCCTCCTTCCTCTTTCTGTGGGTTATGAAATTGTTCCACCAGTCTCGCTGTGTTTATTGTTCGACAATCAACCTTTTCTCTCATCAATAGTAGCTATTATCATGAAATCGGTCGTATTAATCTACCTACCTATATCTAAAAGCTCTCGGCGATACCCTTTCTCAATATTGTTTCCACAATATTTTCTTCATCCCCATTTATACCTCAATTCCAAATGTTTACCCCTCAACCTCACGCCATTAGCAAAGTACCCTTGCCCTGTCAAGTTCACTCCCCAAAGAATTCCTTCAATCTCCAAACAACTAGCTGACCAACGGCATCTACTGTGTGTCTCAATTCCGTATCTGACCAACTGCAAATGACGAATAACCACAGCGTATCCTCGTCGTACGGTTTCGATACACCCTAGAAGGCCCCTTCGGCGTTTTGCGGCGATTTCTTCCTTTCCACAAGCCCCTGCAAAATCAATGTGACATCATTGGAGATGAGATGATAGTACGGCGAATTTGTTTCTACCCATTCGTCCCATCTACATAAGAAATCGAGTCGCCGGTGGTTATCAGACTTGATCAGATTCGACCGAATTTTCCGATAATACAATGGTGGAATGCACAGATTCAAGATTCCGGAAGGCCAAGCCTCGCAGATGAACCCATTCAGGAGCTTGGAAACAAACTGAATATGGAGACATCGACTTTCGGATACAGTTTCTGAGATGGCTGCCCTTAAAAGATCTTAACAACAAGCCCAATCTACCACGTATATACCGTGTAGCACATTCCAACCCTATATCTAGGATCAAAACCCATAAACCACAAGATTGCAAGAAGCCAATAAATTGCAAAGAGTTTCTCGACCAAGAAACCTACCAGCCGAGGTTTTGGATGGTTTCGTTACCAGAGACCGCAAGAATACACATGCTAACGGGTAAATCACGGACTGTCCTCATATTAGCAGCAGTTTTGTCGAAAATCATTCCATATTCCTCTCCGGTAACAGTCCCTGAGTTGGTAGCGACGATAATTATATTGGGGAAAATGGGTTTCGATACCTTTAGTTGGATGTCCGACCCGGAAACTTTATGGTCTTGAGCTTGGAATGAACATAGATAAGAATGGGTTGAGCAGGGTAGTCTCTTCAAACCAGCGATACTTCTCTTCTACATTCTGGAATCACGGTCCTCTGCTCCCTTTTTCAAAAGTAAAAAATGAGAAAGGGTACAAAATAATGGTGAATCTTGAGAGAAGGTAGTGGCAGGGCAACTATAGAGCACCAGAAAGTTCCCATATCAAGACGAGAGCCTTGAAAGGACCAGAAAATACAACAGGGTATGGTTAGTAGGGCCATTGATATGACAGGCTGATGGAAATAGCAGGACGATGGGTGTAGTGGGATGATGGGGTTTCTCAAGCAACCACCATCGCAAGACGATGTCAATATATTATTAGAGTGATGGCAGATCTTTCATAACTGTCGATTGATTATGATTCATGAGAAAGCCATACCAGTTGCCACTAATCCTCCCTTGAAGTAGGGATACTGACAATCCCGAGTCAGGTCCCATATCTCCTTATCGTTATCGACATTCAGCATACACTATATAGGAAGCCCATACAGTAGTGATTACCTTATGTCCCTATATAATTCCAGAAATGAGATCAAGCACACATTCGGCAACTTCACATATTGAATACTACTTGGAATTCACTGAAATATTGGAATCT